AGTAGTAGTAGTAGTAGTAGTAGTAGTAGTAGTAGTAGTAGTAGTAGTAGTAGTAGTAGTAGTAGTAGTATTCACATGCAAGCGCTGCACAGAGAGGTGTCTCACAGCGATGCTCGATGAAGATGGAGCTGGCGGCTTCTGGATCCTCGCGCTTCCGAAACACTAGCCAGCGCATGATTCCTTCAACCCCTGATCATGACGTTCACTAGTGGCACCATGAATCTTCATGATCTTCTTGTGGGTAAGAGAACAACATCGTAGATGTCGAGGGGCATGTAATACTCTTCTCTCCATGTCAATTAAAGTTAAAGCCGCAAACTCTAAAGAACTTTCGAGCCTCGTGCGACCAGTTTTAACAAGGGCAGCATTTCAATGCTTCTGCAGACAAACTGATGTGTGAGAACGTTACGATCTTCAGATTGGAACCATGACCGCCTGGATCTGCAATTCACACCCGATATGTACTCAATGTAATCACAAACCCCGCGCGCCACAAGTTGCAGGCTCCTCTTCCAGAAGCCAGCGCACCTCTCCGGCTTTTAGGCTTAGCTTCCAGGCTTAGCACCCGAAACTTCACAGATGACATAGCAGCCAAAATGCGAGGCACTGGCATGGTAACCTTGATGACTTCATAATCTTAGATATGGCACACAAGAGCTGAAGGCAGTGACTTGCTGCCATCTGTCATTTTACCGGCTTGAGCATTGTAACACAAACGATGGGCACCCCTCTCTCAAGCATGAAGTGGAAGCCGGAAGCAATAAGGGGCCTTAACAATTAGAATAGGGTTTTGGGATGTTTTGAGGCCGATTATACTATAATTATAATAAGAAACCACCCAAAAAAGTATAGGTAACTATTAAGGCTTCTACATTAGCATGGTTCATCAGGATTCAAATTTCAGGTCGCCTCCCGCCGCTGCGGTGTGTGCCTGAAGCCCTGAGCCTCGCTTAATCACCGGGTTTACCACACGATCCTGCGACTTGTGGCTCGGTCTGCACCTGCTTACAGAGTTTGAAGATATCAGGCTTCCCGAGCTGCATTAGGTCCGCTACCTGGTGCCCTTTGCAGTAACAAAGGCGGGCTGGACGGTTCGGTTCGGTGAGTGAAAAGTGTTTCGGGGTCTGGGAGCGCTAGAGTATCGATCCACCTCGCCTGAGGCAACGATGCCATCCGCAGTGCCCTGAGAAGAGGCCTCATTGCAGAAGCATGCCACTGGAGTCTGACAAGTGTGACTTGGACTGCAGGACTGCGCTTCTCCTGGGCTGAGGCGATAGTATACCATGACGTACTGCCGCTGCTGCTACTGTGCTGCGTATCTCTACGACAAGTACCATCACGACAACTATGGAATCTACGGAGTGCTGGTTGAAGCTCAGGCGGCGGATCGGCAGCGCGCTTCGGCGCCGGAGGCGGGAAGACAAGCCCATCAAACCGATGGCTCGGCACCGGCGAGCCCTTGGGCGTTTGGGACGAGGGTTCCAGGATGTGGTGTTCGGAGGATCGTAACGCCTTTGAGTAGACTCGATATCAGGCCTAACCCTTTTTTTCCACAGGCTTGATTAGTGCTCGCCCGGCCAGAATCCCCAAGCACATCGCACTCGTGGCGAGATGCGGGGGCTAAGTACGTACAACACGCATTATCTTACGAGCTACCCTTAGGCCTGAACCCTAAACATCTATACAGTCTGTAACTGTTGAGACCCTGTTTTGGTCGCAGGGTAAAGGCAATTTGGCATAGGGTCAAGAAACCTCTGCAGAAAATCACTCTCGGGCACCACAACCCTTATGAATCAGCACACTATAGAACAAGCTTAATGAGTTGCGGCGTCATGCCCAGGGTTCATCGATGCTCTAGACTCCGCATGAATGACCATCCTAAACCTCCTCCTGACTTCACGAAAACATGCTAACATGCTAGAACCACACCGACAGACAGAAACTTCGGATTGGGCCCCGGCAGGTGGCGACATGACAGTCCTCAGTCGAAGAGAATGCAAAGCGGTCGGGAAGGGCTTTGAGGGCGCCATCCAACAACAACTAGAAACGACACGAATTTCTGAGCCATGTCTATGCACGCTTCGGATATGACACCGGTATGGGGACCGATTCTGGAACCGGGTCTCAAGCAGCTGAAACTCTGATCTTGCTGATTTCGCCTAATAATCTTGAAACTCCTAGCAAGCCATACACCCCAAACCGCACGACGACTAGTTCTGCATCCACCAAGTAAGAACTGGTCCAGCCTTTACCGGGATGTGCGCCAGTACCCAGTCGACCCCCTTCCAGTCCATTCCGAGAGTCGGAGAGGCCATGTGCTTGGGAGGACTGTTGGCTGAAACCTGAAACACCAAAAAGAGTCTGCGAGCACAGACTTCGGTGCACAAAGATGGTCCCTTCGCTTGCAAAGCCAGGCAGCTCTGCTCGGTTCCTCTCAAATCCTGCTGCGCAACCTGCGATTTGGCGCTGGGAGCTCCAGGATCCTGGCAGTCTCGGCCGTGTTTGTTTAGGCTCAAGAGATGTCAGGAGACTTTCTTCGTCCTTACGGCTTGCCAAGCGGCCAGCTGGTGGCAAAGGGTTCAGTCCTATTCTAAGAAACGAGAGTCTGCTTTCGTAGATGATTCGTTGGTCTTACGATCTCAGGCAGACCGCTTTATCGCGCACGCCGCTGCTGCTGCGCCTGCCACTCTTACTGAATCTCAAACAAATTCTTCTTGCGCATGAGGCTTTCAAGCGTGCCCTGTAGTCCTCCAAATCAGGATTTCGGTGCAAACGGCCTCCAACGGTGCTGCACAAGGAGGATCGAAATTGGAGGCTGCAGGTGGGATTAAGTGGGCTTCTGCTCGCAAGGGGTGGTGGTCCCTGATTCTGGTGCGCGCTTTGCAAAATGCTCCCAGCTGGGAGCTGCACAGCTTACAGAATGATCTTGACAGCTCTGGGTGGTTTTCAGCCCGGAGCCCAGAGAACGCCGAACACGAGATAGCATCCATCATCAAGACAAAGCATACTCGATTTTGAGGCTTCATAAGATGATCGTACATGACGAAGGTGCTGCAAATATCGAGTAATGTTACGGCCCGAATGATAAGTCCGCCCCCCCGACCAAGAGTTTTGGCTTGAATAGTCTGGTGTCAGTGACCCTTCGGACCAGGGTCAGGGTCTGGGTGGCTTTGATTGATTAAGTTATATATAAGGGAATTGCGGGGTCGCAGCTTTGGGGCTGGCTCGGGGATCTGAGTGGCTTTGATAAAAAATATCCCAGCAAACAAACGCATTGATGAGGACGCCGTTTCGTTGGTACCGGCTTGAATAAGGAAAAAATGCATTAACCAGGCATGTTGTCTTGACGTGGTTAAAAGCAAGTCTAGTTGGTAAGGGGGATGCCTACTACGACTGCTACCACTGCTGCCACTGCTGCTGCGGCTACTACTACTACTACTACCACTACTACTACTACACTACTACTACTACACTACTACTACTACTACTACTACTACTACTACTGCTACTGCTACTGCTACTGCTACTGCTACTGCTACTGCTACTACTACTGCTACTGCTACTGCTACTGCTACTGCTACTGCTACTGCTACTGCTACTGCTACTACTACTGCTGCTACTACTACTACTACTACGACGACGACGACGGTTACTAATTACTACTACTCCTACTGCCACCGCTACTATCATCTGCGGACCCTACCGCCATCCACCACTTGCAATGTGGATGGCTCCCACCTCGCTAGTTCGGTGACCGGACAGCGCTGCCAAGGGCCTTGGACCAGCGGCGTTGTTCTACGTGCTTTCAGCACGGGCCACTCTCTGACGGTTTGCATGCCTGGGGGTGGCACCTGCACCAGTGACGCCACAGCCCCTTAAGGCTCCTCTGGGAGCGCAAGGAATGGGTCTGCTGCTGTTTGAGCTGTCAGTGGCTGCCGACATGAGTTTGCTCAGCCAGCGCTAGATCTGATTCAGGCGAATGCTGCGCAAAACCATGCATGTCCACTACTTCCCTGTAGCTAGTAATTTGTTGGCAATCGTCACCTTGAGTTGTACAACCGCCGTCTGGTTGAATTCTGAATTCCGTGCGAAAATAATCGAACAACTTCGTGCAGTCAGCAGGGGCGTATCGCTTCATCAGTCAATGATTGGATTTTGACCAAGTAAAAGGCAAAGCCCAAGCAGTGCCAACAAGCACAAGCAAGGCTCCTTTCGTGCACAACTCTGAAGATCTCTGAAGCTGAGTCCCAATATTTGACCCTGCATGCCGCACGCAGAAGCAACTTCTACCCCTCCCCGGCACTGTTTCACGACGCAAGCAAAGCATGCAGTCGGGGGCAATGGAAAGTCCCGTTTGAGAGATTCCGTTCTGCCAGCCACGCCGTGTCATAGTCCGTCAGTCGAGCTTTGAACTAGATTCGTCAAAGTCAGAAGACGGGCATGCTGACGACATCCAATGCTAGCTAGGTCTACACTGTGCGAAGGCACGTGATGTCGCCAACAGCTGACATTAACTTGCTGATGGGATCGAGCTACGAGCGCTCAGCTTCTCCAAATCCACACCGACAGGGCTTGTCTATGCTTGTCTGGACTTGCAGTTCTCCCAGCGAGCAAAAGTCACAACCACAAGCATGCAACACTCATGTCGGATGTCGAAAGCACTGGGAGCACTGCCGAACAATGGGACGACGTCGACGAAAGCGACTACACTTCACACTAGGCCACGTCTCTTCATCCCTCTACTGCTGGATCGTATCTTTTGCTGTTGTCACGACGGACACTACGCCGTGCCATCAGGACCACCCTGGCCCTTAAAACTGCTAGTGCTGCTGTCACGACAAGGGTTATGCCTAAGCACGAAGAACAACAAGCGGGATTTATTCCAACACTGAGTAATCGTTTTGGCAATCATATGCATGCATTGCTACTGAAGCTGTAGCCTTCGCAGTAGGCTTTGGGAAACGAGCAGGTGCAGTGCAGGTGATCCGACTGATCATGACTCAGTCGGACACCGATCCTGTCTCCGAATTCGAGCCTCTGCTTGACTCCGAGTTGGACTTGTCGTCAGCCTCGCTGCTCTGGAGAGCGTGTTTAAACTGCCATGATTCTCTCTCTCTCTCTCTCTCTCTCTCTCTCTCTCTCTCTCTCTCTCTCGCCATCATCAGAAGTCCCGCAAAGCAAGGGTTTAGGGCTGCCATGATTGGGACTCATAATTCATGATGGATAATTACCGCGTCGACTGTTTGACTGAACAATCGCGCACCATGCAGCAAAAAGCATAGCAGATGTGCTGAATTTTTTGCTGGGCAATGGATATCGTCGCGTTCGTCTGCGCAGTTTTTACTTGTCGGTCATGTGACGTAGCACCTGACTCCCATCCTGTGCGAAGAAGCACATGCTAGATATATTTAAATGAGCCGAGAGAAAGACGTCCGAGGATGTGTGTCTTTGTCGACGAGCGGCTGGCTTGCGCTGTTACTACTTGAACAAATTCCAAGGTATGGTCACACAGAAACAACAAAGCTCCAGGTGTGAGCACCAGTGTAAGTAGTGCGGATTCCAGCCAGAAATGACAATGGCAACGACGAGGTAGCATTTTCAGCAGCTGACGGCGTTCAGCATGAAGCCGCATGCAAGGTGCAAGGGTCTGCCACATGAGCGCGGCCAATGCCAAGGTATTGCAGATTCAGCAGGCATGACTCAAGTGGAGAGAAAGAATGAGAAGCCCAAGAGCCCATCCAACAGCAAAAACACAAAGCGGTCATGAAGCGATGTCACAAAACACCAACGATCCACGCCCCTCGTCCACCTGCTCCTCATTGTTGTCTGGCTGCTCTGGCTGGGCATCCTCCTGTACCGCAATTTGAAGAGCTCCCTTTTCAAGTTTAGGTGCTGAACGTCCTACGTCAAGCGAAATGCCCGGAAGACGTGCAAGCGCTTTGCGGAGGCATCGTGACGCATCGCAGACATGTCTAGTTCGACCAAAATTCCCCTTCTTGCAGCATGGAGCGAAACACCACTTCGTACTTACGAGTGCCAAATATAATGCAAACGCAAGTCTCCACCATGTATGGCAGCGGGTTGTCTTCAGGTTCGCTGTCCTCCTCCTCATCCTCCTCCTCGAGGGCTTTCACGATCTCGTTGCAAGCCTGACAAACGAGGCAAGCTAAAATAATTGGCACAGTCCAGAGCAGCGACCGATAAAGCTATACTATACTTACTTCACTGGGCCGTGCGAACACGCCAAACCTGACTCTGGCACCCCCAAGCTCAAAACAGTCTCAAAACACAAGCAGAACACGAATTGGACTTGCTTCCTCTTTCGCTGCAAGGATCAGAACACATGTCATGTGCAAGCCCAAAGAGCCATCTAGCAAGCACCCAGGTCCGAGACCCCTCGGACCTTGGCCGGCGTACAAGAGCTCCAGGTCGGATCCTTGCGGCCACCGGTTCACGGTGTGGACGAGGTAGGAGTACTATATAGGGGCCCTAATCATTATTAATAGACGTCTTATGGAATGAAAGGGGTTCTGCAAATGGACTCTAAGTGGCGCTACAATGGAGTGCCCAATCAACCATTGAAAAATCACCGACTGTAAGCACCGTAGGCTGAACGGCTCTACCACATCGAACACCTGTTGGTGAAGTGAAGTACCTACCAAGTAGGTTCTGAAGTACTTGCCTGATTCGCCTTGATCAAATGTCTGCTTCAAAAATGCGATGATAGTAGATAGCAGTGCCGACAGGCTGATAAGCCTGCTCTCACAGAGATAGCGCCTCAATGAACAGGACATCATGGTATACCAGCACCCCATCATAGAAGCTCCGACAAAGCATAACTTGAACCATAACACAACCATACCTGCTGTGCGAATCTTCCACGAACTCCCTGCAACTTGATAGCTGCCTGGAAGAGCGCGTCGAAAAATCCCAGGTCGCCGCCCTGCTCAGGTGGTCGGGATTTTGTTCTATCTGCCACGTTCAGATCTTCCAGGTTTCTTCTGCAAGAACAGGGGAAGGCCCATCTACGCACACACGCACTGTCTGTGTGCATGTATGCTTACGATTGCATACGACATTGCGATGATTTTCATCGCTCTCTCTCTCTCTCTCTCTTGCTTGCTTGCTTGCTTGCAGGCGTGGGGGGTTAGGTGTGCAAGCCTCCGCCCCCTGCGTGCAAGCGCTACGCCTGTGTCCAAGTCTGGTTTGCTCGGCGTGAAACTTGAGAGTTCCCCCGACTCCCAGTAGCTCCCCTGCCCCTTCTCTCTCTCTCTCTCTCCCTCTCTCTTCGCTTCGCTTCGCTTCTCAGAAGAGTCCACAAGTCGTGGACCCGCGCTCAGGCGCCCCCCCCGACTCGGCGGTGGAAGAGGCTTTGGGGTCTTCAGGGGTAGGAGAGCTTCGCCCCACGTCAGGTCTGGCCGGTGGTGTCCGCCTGGTAAGGACCCAACCCTCCCTGTACTTTTTAGCCCGCATCCCCATCCCGGCCTCGTCTCTGCGCTCACTGAAGCACTATCCTTAGTCCCTCGCCAGGCACACTCCCCCCTATATAGAAACAACGGATGGATTACAATGGTTAACCAACAACTGAAACACAACACGTGCAGGTCACAAGGATAGGGGGTTCCCCAACAAGTCCACCTTAGGTAAAAATCTCTGTAACACTATAGGAAAGAAAAATCATGCCCCCAGTCATGAACCTGACGAATTGGCAAAAGGATACCTCTTCCCTCTCTTTCTTTCGTCATGGCTATGGTGTAGGGGGGTTCCTTCTTGCTTGCAGACGGTGTTCCTTCCCTCTCTCTCTCTCTCTCTCTCTCTTGCTTGCTTGCTGACGGGTATGGGGACCAGGGTCCCCTGGCCCGAAGGCCTACCCGCTCAACGGCTCGCGTCTGTAAGGTCCGTGTGGCCCCTTCCGGGGGTGGGAGTGAATCCGTTCCCCCGTCTGCGCCTGTGTACCCCCGACCCCCCAACAATCAAACCTCCTAAACCCTTCACCTGACATACCTGGCAGGCTGCAGACGGGTCATCCGGGCTCCCCAGTTCAACTACGTGTGGGTGAATTTCGTCGCTCAACCAAAACCTCGACAACTTACCATCAGCTACAGGGTACGATCCAACTCCACCCTTGCTGCCGTTCCCCTGTCGGTAGGGCTCCACCCCCCGACCTGTGTGATGCAGCCTTGGCCGCTCTTCTGTACAATCCCCACCTCACCTGCCTCCTCGCCTTATCCCGAACTCAACCTTGCGCAATTGCACTGCCTGGCCTTCCCACCCCCACCCTGAAGCCTGCGCACAGTCAAGACAGCACCATGGACCCAGATCGCCTGGACGCCCTGAGGGAGCGGTTATTCTAGGCATGAGGCATGGAGGTCACTTGTCCAGTGTACGAGGCATGGGAGGCTTGGTGTTGTGATTGACCTGAACCACGCAAGCCATGGAGCGTTTAATGCTGTCGTTGGTGCCGCTTTGGCTGCAGCACCGAGCCCGCAAAATCATGATAGGCGGCCTCCCCAGTGCTGCCCTCTCCTCGCATCCGCCGGCGTGCCTGCTATCTAATTTGGGAACTCACGTGTACTATAAGTTGCAGATTGACACACTGCTAGACTCTAGCATCGCACAACCCGTGTCACAATACCAGTAAACAAACACGCAGGCCGGCATGCACTTGGATGCCAGACAAGTGTATGATTGCGCAGGGCAAATACGCAGAGAGACACATGCGCCCCGTATGTTAGGGGCGGCTTATAACGGCTGCCGCATACCCTACGCAAACCAACACTCCACCACGCCTAAACATCCAAGTAAGCCTTTCTTGTCCAGGCACCTGTCGCTGCTCAGCCTCCTCAGCTGCTTGGCGCCTGAACCGCGGACAAACTGCCGGGCACTAGCCGTGAAGGTTGAGGAATCTGGATTCGGGTTGTGGGGGCTGCGGGTTCGGATCACGGGCCAACTACGGGCCATGACAGTGATTACGACCATACTGCCTATAGGATTTGTCATGAACTTCATGAACACTTAATGACTTAATATCTTAATTCATATGCATTTCCCAGGCTGTTGATTCCGCTGCATAGAGTCCGCATCTTGGGCGTAGCAGTACGCCGTTGGGGATGTTGGGGCCCCCATGCTGGTGCGAGGCAGCGAGGCTTCCGTGTTCAAGGCTTAGGGGTAGGTTCTCTGCGCAAGGTCTTCGCATTACTGTGGCCACAAAAGTCTGCAGACTCAATAGGTGGTACCATGCTAAGTCATCTCAAACTCCCTGCTGAACGATTTCGTTTGGGTGCCTTGCAGGAACCGACGCTAAAACAACCGCGGCAGTGTACACAACCGCGAGTCTTCCCGTGGTTCAGTCGTAAGTCCTGAACCTCGGATTTCATCAAACCGTTGTGTCTTCACACTACAGGAGTAAGTACTCACACGACACAAACGCAAACCAACTTTAAGAGATTTTAAGAGTAAAGATGGCAAAATACCCAGCACAGAGGCCTTTGGGATTCCAGCTTGGTCCCTGGACGGGGTTCCCTCGCCGAGATACTCTACTTCCCCTTCCACTCTGAAACAGAATGCAGCAAAGGACGCTGACTACAGGTGGTGTTCGTTTGTTATAGGGACCTCGCACATCCAAGCGTTCTCAATGCCGTGTGGGTGGGCTTCTGCAAGTTCTATACAACAAGTGAATACGACTTATGCCAGCTTCCTGACCGAGATCGCGCCTGAGATCCGCAGCCACGTTCATGGCTTTGGTCACGGCGAAAGTCGTGGCCTGCTGGGGGTGCTAGGCAAGAAGCATCGTACTTTGAGTTTGGAACGGCTTGTCGTGAACGTCACGTGGGCTTGATAGCCATGGTACTGACGCCGGATTTTGATCACAAAGACAACTTGGCAGAGCGAGGGCCGTTTCAAGATCTAAGACAGAAGTTCTCAATCCCCATCTGGTAGGGTAGACAGCACTAGCGGCGACGCAGCTGAAGTACTATCGGATTCCCAACTACGTCTACTCCTGCTGTAGCTTCTCACTCACACGGTCATGGTTGTATTGAATCATCCAAGAGCTTTTCGCATCTTCCCCAGCCCTGCCTCGTTACCGCGGTTCCGCGCGTTGTTCGGCTCCGGCCTCGGAAGGATTCGTTGCTCACTGGAGGAGTAGCAGCAAGTCGCCGGTGTCGTCGACGTCGTCGGATTCGTGGTGGTGGTCGTAGTAGCAGTACCAGTAATTAGACGTAGCGGTAGCAGTAGAACTAGCAGTAGTTCGTAGTAGTAGTAGTAGTAGTAGTAGTAGTAGTAGTTTTTTTGTGTAGTAGTAGTAGTAGTAGTAGTAGTAGTAGTAGTAGTAGTAGTAGTAGTAGTAGGAGTAGTAGTAGTAGTAGTTGCAGCAGCAGCAGCAGTAGTAATAGATGTTATTGTTGTTGCTGTATGTTGCTGTTGCTGTTGCTGTTGCTGCTGCTGCTGCTGCTGCTGCTGCTGCTGTTGCTGTTGTTGCTGTTTGGTGTTGCTGTTTGTTGTTGTTGCTGTTTGTTGTTGTTGCTGTTTGGTGCTGCTGTTTGTTGTTGTTGCTGCTTGTTGCTTGTTGTTTGTTGCTTGTTGCTTGTTGCTGCTGAAAACACTGGCGAAAACATGGAGCTCGTCACGAGTGGTCTGCGCGGATCTATTGGTTGCCTTCAAAAGGCTGGCTACTAGGATGAATCACGAAAAGCTTCTGCTGAGCCATCCTGAGCCCTACGGAGCAGCAGCTGAGCAGCAGTCTTCAAAACGATGTAATGTATCATCGCAGGAGCGCACAAGATTAGGATTAGGAATTAAAATCTCTGAAGCTGTAACGGTATCATCAACAGCAAGAGGCTGGTTGTCTTCGACGGGCACTGGCTGCATCTGCGAGACCTGCTGCCATCTCGGCGATGGGTATTGAGTCTGCTGGGGTCCTTCCTCTCAGCGAATACACTGAGCCGGAGCTGTGCAACGTTTTGTGCAGGACTGGTGATGCTGACGAGAAACAGGGATTCACCCTCACGATGTGGGCTTGCATTGGGACAGGAAGACCGCTAATGCTTCCTCGTTCTTGGACCTCCTGAGAAGAGAAGTAATCAGCGACGTCCTGCGCTGTCGCAGTGAGTGAACTACGTCGAATTAAAACAAGTGAGAACCACTCATGCTCTGCTTTTCTAGACAAAGCATACCAAGCCTCTACAACCGGAACTCAGAACACCCCCCACGATCATCAGCAGAAATCGGCAGTGTTCGTTGTAACGAGGATAGCAGCAAGCAGGATAGCCTATGGTACAAAGACTAACCTCAAGCTTGGAAGAAAGCTCGAGGTCTTTCTAAGCTTCGTTCCTGTATGCTCGACCGTGCAAGTTGCCAGAGTCTTCGCCTGGTGTCTCCGAGATCCAGCGGTGGCAGTGGCTTGCGCGGGACGTGCCTTGGATTTGGGGAAAAACAATGGCGCGGTGCACTTAGCATCATACACGCATGGGGGCATTATTCGGACGTTTCTGTTGCGACTTGTGCTTCTGTTGGAAGGGCAACCAAGCCGTCGGTAGTACTGACACTTCCCTCGAACAATCATCATTTGCCACGTCACACGCACTGCGCCGGTTGCATCTGCAGGTGCCTCCTTGGCCTGGTGAGCAGGCAGGTTGATGTCATCACGACTGCAAATGCACGCCCGTGACCTTGCTGCTGCTGCTGCTCCTCGTACTCCTACTGGTGCCGCTGCTAACAGTGTTACTACTGCTACGACTGCCGCGAGGACGACCAGGACGGCTTCAGATTCCTGCCACCCCCTCCTGCACAGGTATAAGTCTAAGTCATTTTTGGCGTGTCTGCATGGGACCGCGGGCCACGGGCTGCAGGATTGGTCTTGGTCCAGGCCACGGACCGGAGCTATGGCAGATACGGACTTTAGATTAAAATTTAAAAGAAGCTATTGGTGGGCAAAGGGCTCAATCCCAAACACAGGATAGGAAAACGCAAACCCAAAAAGTTGAAAGGTTTAGGACGGGGTTACCATCTTCTCTTCAGTTCGACAGCACGGTTCCTGCCGTTCCGGCCATGAACTACGAAAGCTTCACATGCAAAAACAGCAAGGGTCGCCGCAGCATGTGTCACCTTGCTTTAGGGTATGCGAGACAGCGTCTTTGTTCGCCGTTTCGGCCTGCCTTGGGTTCGTTTTGGGTTCTTGGGTTTGCCGAGCAGCATCTCCTTACCGGGTTTGGGGTGTGCCAGCAGAAGTATTGTTTCACAACAAAGACAGCAAAGATCTCGCTTTCGTGCCACCGTTTAGGGTTTGTTGTTAGAGCATGGGGATAGTATGGGGTCTGCCAAGCAATGCTTGCATCAAGGATCGAGGCTCGGGGTTCGCCAGCGAACATCTTCCTTACGGTTGGTTTCAGGGGGTTTGCGAGCCAAGATCTTCTTTGGGGGTTCAAGCTCCCAACCGGGTCCCAACCCAGGATGGCCAAAAACGCCACAGGGTGATGGCCAAAAGCGCCACAGGATGAAGAGGCAAACACTAGACAACGACAGGGGTGCCTGCAAACCGAAAAAACAAACCTACAAACGCAAGACGGCGGCAAAACCCTGTAGCAGGGACCGAGTTCTTAAAAGACCACACACCCGAAAACGAGATGCTGGGCAATGGAGGATCCCGGCAGCCTAATTACTGTTGGCCCGAATCAATCCCGACCTGGTGTGTATCTGTTGCGGCTTCCAATGCCTAATGCTGTTTATACTGCATTCCTTATCCTACCAGGCACGCCAAACGCTGCACTAGAACACAACCTAAACCGCATGCCCAAAGCCGAAACCCCAAACCGCTCCCACTGCCTGCGTCAGCTTCGAATCATCTTCGGTCTTCCACCACTCCTGGCCCTTGCCCTTCGCAGAGCTGGGCCGATAGGCACCACCCTCCTCTTGGCTGAAAAACCTGCAGCGCAATGCCAGTTTGGTCTGAGTGCTATTGGAGTTTTCCTTAACTCAGGTCGGGGAGCAAAGCATGGCAGCACCGCCTATTGAAATCAGCTGCACTTGGGTAGTCGGACTCATGACAGTCGTCGCAGAAATCAAAGCAGTAGTGTAGTCATACTGTCACAGTAATGAAAGTCAAAGTATTCTTTGTAGACACTAGTCTTACCCGGCGCAGTCGTATAGTCGCGGTAGTCGTCGTCGCGCAGCCGTGGTAGTACAGGCAGGAGAAATAGTGGCAGCAGTGGCAGCAGCAGTGGCAGCAGCAGCAGCAGTAGCAGCAGCGGCAGCGACAGCGGCAGCGGCATGCCCTTTGGCTCAGTTTGCATCAACACGGGCTGGAAGGATAGCTCGTTGATGCCCACGCATGGTGAGGAGGTGCTTGGCATGTCAAACCACCGCAGCAAGTTTCTGCACATGCCTCTGGACAAGCTGAGCGGCAGTAGCAGTAGCAGGAGCAGCAACAGGAGCAGGTGCAGGCGCAGGAGCAGGAGCAGGAGGAGTAGGAGTCGGAGGAGTAGGAGCAGTCGTCGTCGTCGTCTCGTCGTCGTCGTAGTAGTGGTAGTAGTAGCAAAGGAGGAGGAGTAGGGGTAGGCAACTGAGATGGGGGAGAGAATAATGAGCATAGCCGCAAAGGCATCACAGACCAACGATGTTGCACCGTCATAACCGCGGGCGCAGCAGCAGTGGCAGCATCTCTATGACACTCCGGAAAGATCAAGCCAAGCCCTGGATAATAGCAATACTCGACGCCACGGTGTTCATGATCATGAGTGGTCATACAGTGCGCGGCTTTTCTCTTGTTACGAGGAAGAACCCACATGACGAGGACTGGGAGTCCAGACCGTGGCAGGAATGGGGCGTGTCCACATCGGAAGTTTCTTGAATCAAACCACACCCATTCTGGCAGAGTGACTGGGTTGCCAATCATCGCTTGGGACTTGTACTAGCACTGAGGCCAAGGCGGCAAGCCGCTGTTGCCGAAAAGAGTCTCATCAACCTTTTTGCAAGCCAAAGGCAGCGATGACTCCATGTGCAAACACCTGCGACTGCTGCCCTTACTTCTACTTCTCGTGAGGCATCATTGGGTAGTGGAGGCTGGTCATGGTTTCGGAAGGATTGCGCACACATACACACACACGACATATGAACTTGAGCCACGAGTTGGCGCCAACAACAGACGCAAGGAAACCCACGAACATCTTTTCACTTGTATATGCAAAGAATGCAAAGACTGTGAAATCTCTGCAGTGCGACATCGGAGACGAACATCACCGATCAAACTGCCATATGGAAACAATGTCCGCACGCCAGCTCCTGAAGCTTGTGCACTGCGCAAACTTTTGAAAGGCCCAGCACGCGTATGGCCCATGCATGCGCTATGCCGAACACAGATCTCTGGTTGATGCTCGACACATGCTGAGACAAGCGATTGCCTGTTAAAGCTGATTTAGACGAAGCCTTGCTGCAGTGTTTTAGGCCGTGCATGTGTAACTCTGCGTAGTCGTGGATACAGAAATGGTCAGAAGCGCATGCGCGCAGTGATGCCGATCTCGCCTTGTTCTATCACATGGTAGAAACCACTCCGAGATGCCGACCTGCTTGTCCAGGTGATTCTGCAGCTCCTGCGAAGTTGCGAACACTGAATTTGTGTCGATACTCCATGTAACAACCTCAACTTCTAAGCCGGTGAGTACGATCTCGAAGTACACCACAGCTGCCTTCCAACACCCCGCATTCAAGCTGCCAAGATCCACCCTGCAACCCGAATTGGCCCACTAGTGCCAGTCAACCGCCAACTGCTAAAAACTGATCATTCAAGATGACACCCCAGTTGTCTTCCAGCTCTGAGGCTCCTCTTCCCAGCCCTCGCCAGCATCACTCTCCTCCCGCCAAGGATCGTGCGAAGACAAAAATGTTGTGCTGAAACCAGATTCTGAGGCCGCTAAGCGCCTGAGAGAGGCCTTGCTGCAAGCAGTGTGTAGCTTGTACAACGTCCGGTAACTGGCGCATCAATTGGGAAATGTTGACGGTCTGCAAGAAGGAAGTGCTCTGATTGGATCTGTCTAGAACCGCTGCAATGCTGTGTCCGCCTAGCTTCGGATGTTTTCGCGGAGCTATGGGAGCTCTGATGAACTCTACCATGACATGACGCTTAGGCTGCTGTCGACAACGCTGCCAGTACCTCCTCAACTCAAAAATACCAGAAGAAAACTGCAACAAGCTAAGAGCATCTGCCAGGCTCTCCTGTGCCAAGACTTCCTCGTCCTCGTCGAACTGCAATGCGTGGTTTTGCGTGGCCTTGATGAGTCTTGGAGGCCCAAATATGTCATGCAGGAATGTCCGTCCCCATCTTCCGAGCTGTTTATCTACATGGCATGGCATGGACAAACGAACACATGTACTTTCACCTGCACATCAAGAGATAAACCCAACGATCGACGCCTAATCCGAAGACATGAAAAGCTTGCCGACAAACCTTCCCTGACCTGCCCAGTACTGCTGACAAAGGCCTCTGCCGCCGACTGCTCGACGGATGCATCCCTTTCCTCCGCTTTGGTTTCCGCTGTGGGGAGCTTAACGATGTGTCAAATCCAAAAGCTGCTTCCGTCTAATCAAAGCCTGCCAGCTGCGATTCAGGAAGTTAAATTAGTGGCGAGAATTAGGAAAACACACGGACGAGCACGAAAGGCCGAATAGTGTGGCCCCGATGGGACTTTGGAGATTTGGAGCGAAATGCCTCGGCAGAGGACCGTGGCGAGAGAGCCATTCTCGATGATTTCAGTGCAGGTTGTGCGCCCATGCCCTCGAGCCGTGAAAGCCGGGTGCAGGGACCAAAGACGCCTTGCGCCGACACTAATGTGATCCCTTTGGCCGTAGGCTGACTAGATAAACCCTATATAGTACTACCACATGTTATCACACTGTTGGCAGAATAGTTTGGGGCTCAAAGTAGTCGTGCCGATCGCAATACGGATCAAAACACCGCTTGTAGGACCAGGTGGCTGCTTCCTTTCTTTCCCCCACTTCCCTTGCCTCGCCAGACAGCCGCAGGCAGTGGGTCAGACATGTCCGACTTAGTTCAGCATCGCTTCTGAGCGGTGCGGGCACCTTCTGAAAGGGATGTCATCATGCGGGAGCTGCTAACAAAGTCTTACTTCGTAGAAAAAAGTTCCTGGCCTCATGTTATTTTTTGTCACTCGTGCTCGACAAGTCAGACGAGGTTTGACAGGCTAAGGCAACATACCTCATGTTATTACACTACATGCCGCTAATTTTAGAATGTGATGGCAAGCACGCGTACTTTGCTTTACTAAACGTAGCGAATTTGCGAGTGAATTCAGCGGGCCGCCTGACTCACGAAATGCCTCTGAAAGCGCAAGACCTTTGCATGAAAGAGAAGTGGCGTTGTGTGCCCGTGTGTGCTGAGAACTCCATGTTGACGAGCGACTTCCCAAACCCTCCAGAAATTTAGACTAGCCCGGCACCGGAGCGTCACCATCAACGAACCCGATGTTAATCACGCAAGGACCTAGCTATAACAGCCAACCCCCGTGAATAGCTATCAACATGAGCTAGCCAAGCAGAGAGCTGTGTGCAGCAAGGGCAGTAAAGCAACTGCGCATGCAACTCGTTGAACCTTTCCAGCAGGCCCGTGAAAAACAAAAGCCTGCCTCTGTTCGCGTCTTCCGCTGCGTGGCTGCAGCTTCTTTCGAGGCCCCTGTTTTCGCCGTTTTGGCAAGGGTGCAGCGTTCTTTCTTCAACTGACCCTGTTTGCGGACGGCATCATCCGATACATGGAATGCGCCTCTCCAAGTCATACCAAACAAACGGGAGATGCTGGCACGTTGCTATCAGAGCCTCCTGCATTTCGGGCAGGCTCAAGAAGTTCCGGACATATGGTGTGGCACTTTAGAGCTACACTATCCTGAAGATATCAGATGTGTGGGGCAGTTTAAGGCGGCAGGACGTGTTGATGGGGCCCTATCTGCACATCCTTTTCTCCAGCGAAAAATGCACAAAGCATAGTCGAACTTAGTTTGCCAGTCACCGATGAATTATCGTCATCATGACTTTCTGCCGCCGGCAAGTGGGAGATTCGTTCGAAAACAACATGATCCGCAACTGATTCTGCTGCATCATTTTTGCTGCATGTTGATCGTAACCGACCTTGTTCTTTATTTCAAAGCCAGTTCGGGCATAGTTAGTTTGATAAATATGAGATGTGATTTTGCTAACTTACCTCTGCACATGCTCCTGATGCGATGTGGCTCCCGTCCCCACTTACACAGCACGACCAAACAAACATATTCAGCCAAAGCATGCACGCCAAATGGCTGCGAAGCAGCAGTTGTCCGGGTTGTACACAGCCTGCATGCCCCAAACCGCTTTGGACGGTTTACCCCCGGACTGGCGCCTCACGGCTGCGGCTGCTTTACGACGATCCGGCTCAAAGTAGAAATCTGTATACTCGTTTGAAAGCTGCAAGAAAAAGTTCTTCGGGCCCGTATTGGGCGAAGTTAAACGTTCACTGTTGCCTTTCAGATGCAGGGAGTCTTCATCTCGAAGCTCCAACTCGACAAAGTTATGGTTAGCGCCAAGCTTGGATTGCACGGCCGCTGGAAAATGAATCCTGTGAAGTCGACTGGCATCCTCACTGAAGTCCAGACCGGTGGTTTCGAAAAGGACGCGTGCTGCGGTTGCCAAAGTAGCGTGGTTCACTCCCACGAACTTGGCTTGGTAAGCATCCACCACACCACATGGAAGTCCACATTTCTCCTTCTCCGACTTCGTGCGTAGAACGAGATATCCGTGCCGATGGTGGCGGGCTATGACGTAAGAGGAGAGCTCCGTGCGGTCCTGCATAGCGTGGCACTAAGGTCGAAGGCAGCGGGAAGTTCAAAGTCTGCTGCCTTTGAGCCAAAACAAAAGCAAGTTCACAGTCTCTGAGTTTGGAGCTTCCGGCGTTGGGCTCAACTTGGGGGCGTGGAAAATCGGCCCTTCCCCGTGACTGAACAAATAGTTTCGCTAATGTAACCGGCGAAATGCATCCCGCAGAAAGCTCTTGGCATTTCTCTTTAGAGTTTAGGCCAAGGTGCATCTGCAACATGCGATGGCTCGAATGAGCGGTGCCACTGTTCTTATGATGACCACCGTCCCTCTTATTGCTGGGCAGATGCGGCTGCCACCCGAGCCTAAACTACGTGCGACAAGCAATCTAAACCTGGCAAGCCTGTGCATACCATTGCACCGGAAAGCTGAAAGCCCTAGAACATGACTTCATGACCCCGACCCTAGACACCTGAACTGACGACACTGCTGGTCTTTCAAGTGCGGTTCTGGGTATGCAACCTTCGGACGTGGGGACAGGACAAACCTACGGTAAACTTAGCAGCTAACCAGCTACACTCTAGGTTCCTTGAAGAAGAGAAGCCTTTTTCCTGATATGGCATCATGAAAACAAAGAGACCTTTAAAGGGACCACACGCTGCCTTCATCCTCGGAGGTGCTGGGAGACTGCAGCTCCGGCACGTAAAAGAAGGAAAGGCCCAGGTCTGCTGGGATGTGCCTTTCGTCTGAGATGAGTGGTCCGAGTGCGTGTGTCTGTGCTCGTTGGCACAGGGTGGTGATGACGAGGATGATGACAGTAGAGGCCAGCGTGGTATTGATGGTGGGAGTGATGATGTTAAATGCTTGAGTTCGGCTCCTTCAGGCAGGGTATACTAACTTTGAGCTCAATTGTCCGATCATATCAGAAGGACGCAACCCCGAAAGGTGACCGTGAAAGCATGACGCAAATATGTATGCTGCGGACTACAGCTTCCTGCAGCAGGAGACAGAGGTCCTGTCAGGATTTCTTGAGCGCTCTTTGAACAAGCCTGTCGCGTCTCGGGACTTTGCGCCCTGTTTCGGTTCGTTGCGAGAGACGGAAGCCCTGAAAATCGAGACCCCATGAAAGCCTGGTTTATTTTGCTGATGCACGTTCTGCAGCTTCTGGTTTCTGTATCGGTACTGGTCCCTTGGCAGTCGTGCGACCTGCAGACGGGTAAACAAAAGCCGTCGCGAGCCTTCTCAACATATAGGCTGGTCGAACACGGAGACATACCATTGCAATCGCTCTGACTGCTACGAAGAAGCAGTGACATGGGCGAGCACTCGTCGTGGCAGCAAGACATACTAGGACAAGGAGTGCCAACTAGTTAAGATTTCATCAAAGGCGCGCAGTGCCGGAGAAGTTCTGAAACAGCACTTCCAGGTGCAGCTTGTCATCTCCGAAGGCTCGTATGCCAGTAGCAAACATGACAGGGTAGTCCACGTAACCTTCGTCGGAAACTAGGCGAAGGTCGAGCGCTAGCACTGACCGTTCCAACTAATCATCCTCGTCTGCAGGCTATTACCGGCTACCAGCCTCTGGATCCTTCTCTGTCCTCCCTTGATTGATATAAAAGGCATAATTACTGCGGTAGTATCCCTTGCTGTCGACAACGTTTTCGGCTGAATGCGCTTTCATCAGGATGGAATCTTCGAACATTCCTGGTGTGTGTGCCGGGATCTCGGGAGCTTAGGCGTTTGCATATTCAAGCGATCTGTATTCTTCTCCTGGCAAGTAATCTCCGAAGGCTCACCACCGTGTTTGGGAATCCTCTCATCAAGTATGGAAGCTCCCTCAAGCCGCACCCCGCCGCGCGCAGTGTCGACTCGAGAATGAAACGGCTGAATCCAAAAAACATTTGCGAGGGTGCTTCCAGCTCTGGTGCTGCCATGGCTTGGGCTTCAAGGCTTAAGATTAAGAGCAGTAGGTACCGCAGAAGCCAAGGCGCCGTTGCCCAAGACCTGGCGCAGGAATGTCTGCTGTCCGAGCTCGCCTCTTGAAGATTCGACCCGAAAGCAGAAGAGCTCGCACTTTCGTCTCAATGATGTGCAAGCACATGTCATGTGGTCCTGACCCTTTTCCTGCGATGGGCTGCTCTCGGAGTTGCTTGCCTTCGTATTCTTGTCGTTGCTAGTGCTGCTACTCCAACAACGATAACGGTGGACCATCAAATGCTGCAGATTCGAGTACAGCTCCTGAACGGTGCTTCATCCCTGTGTCCAAAAATCTGACCCCTAGGTCCTCTACCAAGCACATGAAAAAGAGGAACCTCTCAACTCGGGATGGTGAGGACCTACCCCAGGTTCCCGTCTTCAGGGCCTCTGTAGCTTTCCAGCTCGGTGGCGTGAGGTCCTCTGTCGCGAAGAGGAGTGTCCTTGGAACTTCTCTCGGGTTGTGTTGGTGTTGAGTATGTCTGCTTCTGTTGGGGTTTCAGAGCTTCTAGGCAATGTCAATTCGACCACTTCGGGGCAGGGGCATCGGATTATTGACTGTTGTATTGTGCTTTTGCCATGTTTCAGGTTGGCGGTAGCCACACCCCAACATACCCTGCACCCTTAGGGTCCCCTCCCCGTTCCACAAAAGACGAACAACCGACAAATGTTTGGATATCGTGACGTCTTCTATTTTTTGCTTGGGCAAAAGATTCTGGGGCATAGCCTACTGGTTTGCTTCAGTTGGTTCAGTAGCATCCTTGGCCACGCAACACGCCTGCATCCTGACCTGTTGGACTCGATCCTCGCGTGCTGCTCCAGGTTGGGGCCTATGGGTGTCGCAGGTCATTTTGGATTGCAGAGCTTTTGAGAATCAATCCCAAACTACAGTTTGCAAGTTGCTGAGCAATTTCGACGAAAGTTTGGGGACTGTGTTGAACGGGTTGAACATCGCCCCGAAGCGCACGTACCATATCCCGAACACAGCGGATGCCCAGCACTTTTTGACTCCCATAGCCCGGAATCTGCAGCACACATGCCATGCAAGCGAGCAGCTTCTTCAGGCGCCTTTCTTGGTCGGCCGAAGTGTGAGCTTCCTGCAATGTCATTAATGTGCTCCCAGGGTGCTATACGCGGTCCGTCGTTTGAACTCACGCGGGCAACCAGATAGTTTGCTTCTCTACTACTACCACTACGACGACGACCAACGACCACGAAAACGACGATCACCGCCACGACCACGACGACGACCACCAGGACCACGACCACCACGACCACCACCACCACCACTGCTGCTGCTTCTGCCGATTGAAGTCAAGTTGAGTTCCGTCATCATCGTCACATCATGCAAACAGTGCCGCGATCATCACCGAAACTCTCAACAAAAGCATGCACACGTGAACCCTATTGGGCCCCACCCCACCCTCCCTTCACCAGAAATTACGGCCCGCCTTGACAATCTGAATGCGCAGCCTGGGTGGTGCGGACTCCTTCGACGGCACATCGGACCTGTTGCTGATTGGATTGTCACATGCTGTGCAGAGATTCACAAGGAAAAACAACTCCTGCAGGCCGTTTGTGTGACGCTTCCGGAATCTCTCGAGCTGGTATTGACTCCTTGGACGCGCTCGTGCCACCTTCTGGTCATTTCTGAGCCTTGTCGCTGCCACGTTTCCTCTTTATAAGGGCCAGCCTATACTATAGCTCACTTCCTTCTATTGGAAGCCTTCTGAGCGTGCGAGCTTCGACTGCACATGCAGATTGCAAAATTCTTGGCCCAGGCAGCAATACTCTGGAAAAAACATCCGCAGACTCCGGGCAAGCAATGCAATTAAACACACATCTCAGCTCGCTGCACGTAGCGCAAACCGAGGACCGCTCCGACGAGCACCACGCCACGAGGGAATTTGAGCCTGCCAAGAAATGAGGTTCTTGGCTGCAGAGGCTCGGGGCGGCACAGTGAGGTCTGAACCATAGGCCCGTAGGGTTGATTGCTTGGAAGCTGTCAGACAGCTTTTTGGGCACTTCTGACTGCCGCTTCCTCTGGCTCCGTGTGTGCGGAGATGGATTTTCTAGATGAACTGGAGAAATACAGGAAGTTGAAATCCACCCCTTCTCGTCCGTGTAATCCCTGCTCATCAGTATACCCAGAGCCTGAAGGCCTGCTGCGGCAAATTGGACTGGCCTGGGGGTTTCTGCAGCCGTGGTGATGTGAGGCGAGCCAGAGCAGATGTCTTCGTACACGCGGTACCTGATCGTTTTGACGGCCCAAGGCCAAGACTGCAGGCTGACAAACTGAACCTAAGGTAAAGGACTTGCAAGAAGCTTCTTTTGCTCGATCAGCCACGAGTTCGATCCCTCTGCGCTTGTCGCTGTCTTGTCAATCACTTATGCAACTGGGAAGCTTGGCACCGGTGCCCTCAATGCGTCGGCCGACACGGAGGCTGCTCTGCAGGGACCTTGGGCCCAGCGCACGGTTGAGATCCTCTCCTCAACATCACGTGATCTGGACATCGCTCAGAGCAATATTTGTGGGTCAGGGCTTATCCTCGGTATTCCTCGAAAATTAAGGAAAGATTGAGGATGCCCTTTTCAATCCATCGATCGGAAGAAGCTGGCACCGTAAATCCAAGCGAAGCCGCCTGTCTGCAGTAAAACAAGCTGGCACACTTAGGATCATGGTGCCGAAATTGCGCGATGTTCGGCACACCACGATAACTTGGACTCCCGCACTGCCAGCCGCGGCAGGCAAGGCACAGCACAACAACATTGTGGCGGGATTCCGAGGGTTTGCAGGTGCCCTTTATTTATTAAGTACTACGAGTAGCAGAAAACTGTCCGAGCTTGCGATCATCTTGAAGCTACATGTGCAACGAGGCTTCCGTTTTAAGTTAGCACTCTCCAAATGCATCCATGCTGCTTGTGCACACGCGATGTGACCTGTGCCAGGTTCAATGATTGGTGTTGGCCACAGCCCCAGAACTTGGTAGAAGCCGTATGTGCAACATAGCTGTCGAGATAAGCCCTTGGAATCGATGCCGCAAATTCTTCTGCGAAGCAGGAACGAGGTCGGACAATCATACGATTGAGCTTCCAACACAACATGTACGGTGTCCAATGACTAGTCTTTTTCAGAAATGACTAGTCTACCCTTTCAGGTCTGTGGTGTAGCTCTGCCCAAACAGTAACACAGACCAGCGCAGTAGCACCAAAACATCCTTGCACGGCAAATGCGCCCGAACCCAACACGCGCACCAAAACCTGAAGAACAACACATCACGATTCATGCGGACACCGAAACCAATCACATTCGCACGGTAGGTGAACATGAAAGCGGCAGGAACCGCCGCATCATGCTGCGGACACTGAGACAGCCGGCACTGGAAACCAACCGAAGACAAGCTCTTTTCGACGGCTTGATGCCGTGTGGGATGTCTCAAATCAGGAGCGACAAGGCCTCTTTGGGGTGGATGTCTTGAGCGTGGGTGTGGAGGCGGCTGCCGCGCAGGAAGCGCAGGTTTTCCAGCTGCAGGGCAATCGGAACCTGGCCGAGAAGTTACGTAGCCTCGCTTTCTTTACCTTACATTATCTGCACTGAAGGTGGTGGTGTAGTGTTGATTTCCAACGACTTGTGCGGCCAATGGCACCAGAAGCAATGACGTGCTGATATATAGTGGATGCGATAGCAGAATGATCCGGTGGATGCCCAACACGTACACGTAGTCTGAGCCTTCCTGGGGCCTCATTGGCTCGACAGTTGGGAAACTTAGAGCAGTCGTCATCTGATCTGGCGGAAATAATAACAATAACATCATGTACTCTGCACTTCAGAAACGGGTTTGGGTTCGCGTCGCTGTGCCACCGACCTTTGTGATTCCCAACACAGCGCCCGACCTTTCGTTCTACTACACAGTCGATGTCTGTGCATGCTGTCATGTTCGCAGGCACGGGCCTGTCGCACCTGGTAGCCATAGAAAGAGACCTGCACGACGAGGCTGTGGAAGTCGCACAAGGCAGCGTTCGAGGTTCCAAGTTCATGGAGGAAGGCATGACCAGTTGTGTTGTACGGTGCATCGAGCCTGGTTCATCGGGCCAAGACTTGATTTCGCCTTTTTGGGCTTTAGAGACAGCACTACGAGCTACCCCGAACTTCTCTTCTCGACATGCCCTGTACTCAGCACTGCCGAAGCACATTCAGTCTGCCAGCCACCGGCTCTTTGTTCAGCCACACTGAAGCCTTCCCCTTCTTGCAGGTTTTGCACCTTCCGCACGGCGATGCCGAAGTGGCCGCCCAGATTGCCCCGCAAGGATATGCGCACATATCCTCAGCCACCAAATGCATGGGTCTATGAAAGCACCGTGAAGTTCATCTTATCTGCCTGAAATATGTTTGGTGTACTGCGGACTCAAGGGTTGCAGCTGGGAGTGTCTGTGCATAAAAGCAATCTAGGGGCACATGGAATGCCTCGACAGGGGCGGCCTTGCACTGGAACGACAAGTTCAGCCACTGCAAGCAAAGCTTGAATGAGAACAGGTGTCGGATGGGCTTGTCGATCTTGATAGATGCCTCCGGCAATTTACCCCAAAGAGGGTGCAGCAACGAATCAGCAGTCAATCTCTGACACGCTGCCTGCACTGCTACTGGTGGCTCTTGCACTGCTCATGTGCGCGTAGCAATGTGGCGTGGGTCTACGAGCGAGTTCACGCCTGTCTCGGCTCCAAGCTGTACTGAAGCGTTTAGGACTCCCGGTCTGCTTCGCTGTGAAGCCCTAAAGCCCTAAAGCTCCTCCAGCGCCGTAGCATCGTCCAGTGTGCAGGATCCCAGCTCGACCCAAGGAGCTCCCGGCTTCACACAGACCTGCGACGCTGCAGGTAAAGGGTTTGCACACGAGCCCTCCTCGGAGGTCGGAGGGTTGGCGGTTTCAGCTTTGACATTAGACTCCGCACACTGAAGCTCCGACCTGGAACTCGGCCCTCCCCCAATTTCATCCTCAATCCGAAGCATAAACCCAGTCCCGGTGTCGACTGCGGCACCTTGAGCTGCACCTGCCGTGGATTCTCCTGACAGCCACGAGCTGAGTCTGCCAACACTGTTCGGATGTTTCGAAGCGGATACCGCTACGATGAGTTCATCTATACAACGCGTGTGGAAATCTTGGAGCTGCACATTGTGAATTTGGACGAAAAAGTGCTGGGACAAACAGGCTAGAGGTTTTTTGCTGGAGTTGTGGGAAACTGTACCGTCAGATTTTCTGATGGGCGGTATGAGATCTTCTGATGGCCGGCATTTCCGTCTCTGCTGTTTGCGCATGAGGAAAACATAAGTACTACTACTACTACCACCACCACGACGACGACTACTACTACTACTACTACTACTACCACCACTTCGCACCGGTCGGAATACTGCTGTTGCTGTTGTCTGTTTGTTCCAGTCGAAACACTCTGCGCGCCCGAAAGCTGCATACACATGAAGACAGGCAACAAGATTCAGGGTTTCAAGAGCATGCGAATAGAAAGCATCAGTAAACACAGCGTAAACAATACTGGTCCAACCATTGTGCAAAACTAACACTGTGGCAAAACAGTGGCCATACTCACACACCGTGGCAGTCGCTGAGCTGCAACAAGCATGCGAATGAGCGATGTGGAGATTTCAGCCGATGATTGAATGGAGGCCCAGTCCGAAAGCAACTGGAAGGATACAAATTGAGCTTCACAGACTCGTCAAAGTGCTCAGCCACACGCCGCCTCCCGGCCCCAAAGCGACAAAAGGCACTTCGTCACCCAATACCTTGGATGCATGGAAAGCCAACCTTGGGCCTGGAGGCTGCGGCCAAACAACGTAAGTTTGAGGGTGTTGGCACTCACACTCGAACACTCCAGGCGAGGCATGTGTCATGACGGACGTGGGCTTTAGGTCTGGGAGAAATGTTTACGCGTCGCCAGGGCTCGGTTGATGCACTCTTGGACATGCACCGCGACGGCTGAAGAAAGTTAACCATCAAACAAACTTAGAGATTTCGGGAGCGGAAACAAAGGGTTGGGGCCTGAGGGTCGTTGTCGTCTGTCTTACCCCGGGCACTGCTCCATCACTTGAATACATGAAAGAAGGCTGCCAGTACACAGAGGTAGCTGCTGGCTGCTGGTACTCTTCTTGCAATAGATCCCAGTCAAACGGCGACCTGAATGACCGCCTGTTTTGATAAAGGCCATGCCCGGTTTGGCAAGGACCTCTTTTCAGTACCCCTGCTCCGAAACCGGAGCAGGCGACGAGAACACCAGAAAGCCCACCAACAGAGATCTATTTTCTGCCTTAGCCTTAGACGCTTTCTTGAGAAAACAAGGCCGGCACAGAGCGGCGCTGCATCAAAGGTGCTGCTGCTCCTCCGTCTTGCCGATAACTTCCTGACAACCGAAAGGCCACGTTGGTAGCACTCGCAGGTCATGCAGCAGTGGAGGTAAGAGGCACTTGTACTGTAGTCTTTGTCGTGGCTTTGCTGTTGCTTGCTGGGGCCGCTCCATGATCTCCATGCAGCACAGACATTATCAAGAACCTTGTTCCATTCTCAAGCAGCAGTGGTGGCGGTGACAGATGGTGACAGTGATCGGAGTTAGTCAGTATCGTCCGAGAGGAAGTATCGTAGTACCATAGCATTCAACGTCGGCACCCAAAGCGGCAATAGCAACTACGCGACTCGCGGAAGTGCTTGTAAAAATGGATGCCCATATATCTATGGATATATATATATATATATTAATTAATTAATTAATTATACATAAATAAATAAATGAATATAAAAAAATATGTCTTTATCTATTTTTGCGAGTGTGTTTCACTTACAAAACTTGCATTGGCACATGGGCTGCAGCACCTGGAGTTCTTGAAACGGTTGGCGGCTTCAGTTACAACCCTGCTACGCATCCCCGCCCTTTGTAGTCCACAGTAAAGATGCTACAAAGACGCGGCACACCGTGCTTCACACGCCTCGACTCAATGGACGATCCGAAGCCAACTCACTTGCAGAAGCGTGCGGGAATTACTGCATGGAGACCCTGTGTTTGCCAGGAACATCACAACAATCTACCAAGCTCTTTTTTGAAGCAGGTGCAGCTATGCCTGCCCCTCCAACCCTGAGCGCATGTCAAGCGATCGTATAAGATCGTCTGAATCGTCTGCTGTCTTCAACCAGGATTCGAAGTCGATGTCGACTGAGGTAGCGCCCATGTAAGTACCTGGACAATTCAGAAAACACGCGCCTGCGGCGCCCCTGCTCCCAAGGAAGCCTACTGCAAACTTCGAAGATACGACACCACACCTTCCGATGCAGCGGGTACAGAGTGCAGTCTAAACCCTGCACCTTCATCATCTTGACAGGCAGCAAGCAAAAAAACCCAAACCGTCAGACTTCGAAGCCGGCCTGGGGAAAGCTCATCAGAGTTCGACACGAAAGCAACCAGCGAACAAGATGCAATGATTCTGCAACTTCGACATGCATGTGGCGCGCGACCTGCTGAAACCACGGAAGGACTGAGACATTGGCCAGGTGACAGAAGCCGGGAGTCACAGCGCCGCGCTTCGAGGCAAGGAGATTCGAAGCAGGGAGGTTTTGCCGAGAGTGGGGCGGCTTTCCCCAAAGCCTCAGTCTGTTATGGGGGCCAAGCAGAGTGATGTGAGGATTGCTGTTGAAGCCTTGGGGTGAGTAGTTCTGGCTCCAGGCTCCATCTCGACGGGTGCAGAGTTCTGTATGCGCTAGCCGCTACATGCACCATCTCCTCGCTCTTCCGTGGTTTCGGTTTTGCTCAGGTACCTGACCCAGAGAAGCGGAGGCCCAATGAGCTTTACAAGCCGTGTGGAAGTCAGAGTCTGCAACCCTCTGAGGCTTAAATATGCCATGCTGCTAGGAGTTCTCAGTGCAATAGGACCATTTTGATTCCCAATGTTGCCGGCATGGCGCTTGACGTGGCGGATCAGCTTTTCAACCTGCACGCGGAGCTTTCTGCGTTTCCCGTTTTGTGGTTTATGGGCTGTGGGCGGTGGCTTGGGATAACTCTTAAGGCTCCAGCAGTAGACATTCCAGATCATTCCAGATATTGTTGAGATCCGATGCTCTTGGAACCCTGTGTACTCAGGCTGGCATACCTTTAAGCGATCTTGCGACCCTGCGCAGGAAGATGAGGGTAATTCAATATACACTTGGCGAAGTCCTCGACTCATCAGCTGTCACTGCACGTAGTCTATTCTAACTGCGAAAGCAGCAAGCTATAAACATACCCGCAAGATTCTTGGGCTTATGTCTCTTCAATCCGCTAGCTACAAGAGGGTCCCAAGCTCACTCGGTAGAGTAGTAGAGTAGCCTACAAAAAAAGCCCCCAACCCCCTCCAGAGCCTGCCACACTTGCTTGCTGGGGCGCTCCACATTGTAGCCCTCAAACCACGGATGCTTCCTGGGCCAAGCAGGAAATCCCAACACTCTCAACGAAGCAGTATAGGCGCTCCTGCAATTCTAGAGTCTAGTGGCTAGTGACTCCTGCTTTGGGCTTAATCTGGCTTCGCTTGGGACAGAATCCGCCGAGGCCACAGGCCCAGGCGTCTTGAGGGTTATTTCAGGTTCCCTCCACCTAATCCTCCTCCCAAAGTTTGGAGACACCGCTTTTTTGCGTTCGTTTGCCACCCCCTTGCCCGGCTTCCCTTCATTTTACCTGATTTGTAGGCCTCCCCCCCCTCCCCCTCCCCCCCCTCTCCCAAAGGAGAAGAGCAGCGAGGTAACGCAATGGAAAAGGCAAAGGTTGGGGTTGAGAGGCCTCCCTAGCATGGTGTATACGACATCCACTGCCCCCTCGCCCTGCGGCTACAGAGCCGAGGCGGGCGGCGTAGCGTTAAAATTACATTGAAAGCTAAAGGTATGTGGCCCGGATTAACCTATCCAATGCATGTTGAAAGACGGGAACCCGAATAAGCGAGACAGGTGCCTGTGTGTTCATCTGCAATACACTGCACCCCGCGTAACTTTGACAATCAAGGTCGTTAATGCATGGAGACGTCCAGGTGCGACCAATAAGGCTAGTCCTTCTGTTAATTGTACAGCTTAAACCTTCAAGGAGTCGCACCACTCGCCCAGCCACGCTTGCCATTTTCATGGTTCTCACACCGACTTTTCAAGCCTCCAGACTCCTTTTGAATACGTTCTCCATCCCGGCGCATGTCTGAATCCACATCCTGCATGAACTGAACCTTGGACAACCTGAAACTCCCAGTCCCCAGAATGAACCCAACCGCCCAAAATGGCTACTGCGTCAAATCCTGCAGCTCCAAAGACCCCGAAAAAACTCGTCCTGAAGTTTGCTGAAGCATCCTTACTTGTAGTTTGATAATTCGCCCTCCATATCTTCTTCTTCTTCTTCTCCCTGTCTCTCTCTCTGTCTCTCTTGCTTGGTTGCTAGTAGCGGCTGGAACCAGTTGGCCGAGGGCCCACCCCCCCGGGGCGTTCATCAGTCCGACTGTTCGGCCCCTGTTCGGGGTAGGAGCTCTCTAAATCTCTCTCTCTGGCTTTCCCTTTGTCCGGCCCTGAAACTGCCGCTACAAACTCATAGTCCCATTGCATGACGATTGATGACGTCAATCGTTTTATTATCAATGTTACGTGTTTCCTGGCACCACGAATTCCTGTCCAGAGTAAGCTTTCTTTGATGTAAGCGGCAAGCACTCGGATACCGATGGCCGATGCCCAGGCTCGCGCTGAAGCCTTGGGGCGCGAGGCCGAGGTGAAGCTACGGGTAGCCTGTGTTCATTGAACTGACCCGTTTGGCGGTTTTGTGCGTCGAGAGTTCAAACTCGGTGCTTGAGGAGAGGCCCCCCCTACTTAACACCTTCATTTCCCTGGAACAGCTTTCGCGGCCTTTGCCTGGGTCCTTAAGGCTTCGTCCCGAACTCTCGAATCAACAAGCTTACGGTGTAAGCCTACATAAGCCAACCTAGGGAAATGGTCATGAAGACTCTCAGAACCGGCTGCGAGGGCTGGACGTCTGAGCTGCAGGCATCCAGCGGAGGAGGTCCAAGGCATTCTCCGAGAGGCCTAACAGCGGGCCCCGACACACACACAAAACTGCCAGTGCATCGGAAGAACCTCCTCGAGTTGCAAACCGAAAATATTCCACAAGAGTCCCTGAAATAAAGGCACTAGAACTGTGGAAGGCGCCACATGCATAAAACCAGCATCTTCTCATCACGCTGCACAGTTCTGGGGTTGGTTACAGGCTTCTGCTGAGTCCAGCAATCAGGAAAACAACGACGCGGGCATCCTGGTTCATCGATGACCAGCATCTTTTCCAATAAGACAATGACATAGAACGCAAGCCAGTATATCAGTAAGACAGTCGATGTCACGGCGTGAACACGAAGCAATCCAACCCCTTCAACAGCTGCCGGACTTGAACGGATCATCCAAGCAGGCCCAAACATCAGCCGGTGCGTCCAGCAGCATTTCGGTGGCTAGAGCTTCGACAAACAAGATCGCAAGTACTGGCGACCTACGTCCTGCACGAGTACAACCGCATGCGACCCAAGACCAACTGAACGAACAGCGAGAAGCGAAACGATCTTCATATCGCGCTTAAAGCCAACCCTCCACGCTTCTTGTTGAAAAGGCGGCCTCCGGTTGAGGTTCCGAGCTCGCTGAACTCCGGCTCTCCGAGGCAAATACGCTGAACCAGAGCCTTCCCAGTGCCTGCGAAACTGCAAACTTGAGGATCTCGCCATGTCTTACCCTTGTAGGAAAACTTATATAACAACTATATGATTGCCTTTTGTTCTCGCTTTTGCTCAGCTGCTTCCATCTTGTGCCTGCTGCCGGTAGTAGCACCATTGTGGCCCTTCTGTCTGTTGAAAGGCAAGCATGTCTGCCATTTAAATCAAAACGCGCGTGTTTATAAGTGCTCCACTCGTGCCTGCTGCGATGTGCTGCTTGAACGAATGCTATGTAGTAACCATGAATACTCCCGTTGACCCCAACCTGCACAGCCTCACAACACTCACGGGCTTCGCCCAATTGCTGCACCACGTAGGAATTGAAGTCATTTGTATGACACCGATTTTTGTTTCTATTCAGCCGGAACCCTGATCTGCTGAGTTCATCTGCTTTGTAAAGTTACTTGCGTAGCCGTGGGTTGCACAGCAACCGGCCTAGTGTTTCTACCTGAATCCTGAAGACCCTGAAGTGCCTCCGAACGGAGGGTGCCCATGAAGCAGCTCGAAAATCACACAACCGGCGGCCCAAACGTCGGACTTTGCACCTCAGGTACTCAGAACTGACATTCCCGTCAGTTGCAAGAGCTCCGTGACACTGACAGCATTCAGGCTGCGAGCTTTGTAGCAGTTCAGTCAGGGTCTACACTGCAACACTTGTTTCAAGGATTTCTTCGAGCTTCCCTGGTTTCGGTGGTTTGTGGCCACAGGCCGAGCGGCTGAATTCCCCCTGCTTCACCACTTCGGGGGCAGCAGTCAGCAAGTCGCATGGCCTCTGTGCAAGAAAGCGGGGAGATTCGGAGATGGGTTCTGACGGTTCTGACAACCCAGGACACAGCCTTTAGGGCTTGCTTCACCTGCAAGGCCTCGGGTCGAGCAAGGACGAATTCGAGGATGATCAACTCCGCATTTAGTTGCCAATACGAGTACAACAAGGCTGCTTCGAGCTCACGTCGATCACCGGACCCTGGTAATTATCTGACCTGTGCAATCGGGACCCTAAACGATCTTAAATCAGCCAGGCCACTGCACACGAACCCTAAATGCATCTAAATGCCATCAAGCACGTGAAACTGTGAGCCATCCTTGTAAACCCCGAGATCCCTCCAAACTCCGACCAAGAGCAGGAGAAACCCGAAAAGGCAAGACCTTCTACCTGAAACTAGGAACCCCCGTGCCATGGGCCAGGGCCTGCCCTCTTCGACCATGAAGTTCTTCTTGCGCGGGAGGGCGGCCAAACACCAAAGATCCGCAAGCTTGCCTCAGGCCCAAGCTTTCGGATCGCAAGCCCAGGGCATGTCAGGAAGTACTAAAGCTTCTTCAAGACACCTCAAAGCCTCCCTAAGAGCCTTCAGTGCTGAACCGAAGCTTTTCTATGCTTGTCTTATCCTTTCCTACTGTGTGCAGACAAAACCGCGAAACGTGATCCAAGAATCAACTTTCCGGGTCGTCAGCTTCCGCCAGGACAAACTGCTGAAGGCGAAGGTCTCGATGCCTTTCTCTTGTATCGGAGCTGAGGGCTGGTTGGCTTGCAGAGACAGCGGTATGACACTTGGATTCGGGACTTGCTGATACTTTGAAACCTCAGAGCGAGCAACCGACCAGAGCCGCTGACTAACAAGACTCAGGGAGTAAACTGGGATCTTAAATCCTAAACCCTGAGATCTTAAATCTTAAACCCAGAGCCTTGCAGCCGCCTTCTGATCGCAGATTGAAGCCTAGAATCTCGTACGGCTCGTGCAGCAAAGGTCATCGCTTTTGACTTTCCAAAGTCTGCTCGCTCAAATGCCCGTGCAAAGCCCGTTCATAAAGCCCCACCCCAGTTTATTATACGTGCGTCTGGGCTTAGGAATTGTATTATGAAAACAAGCCCCCGTCCAGCAAAGTTCAAATGTAGATGTGTCTTGGAAAACCTTCTTTACATTGGGCCTTCCAACTTATTTGTCGCATGTCCTCATCCTGTGTTCTTGTTTGTGGCTCCCCTACTAAGCCCCACTGCTCATTCTTGTCGAAGCATATGTCCCGAATACCCGAGCTTCTTGCCGGAGTCTCTTCCTGAATCGAACGTGACTTGTTCTTTTAGTGTCCAATTAACTGGCAATCCTTCGAAAGACCGCGATCCTTAAACACATCCTGCAGCCGAGTCGCAGCAATCGCCGGGCGTGCAAATGATCAAGAGCCTTCAGGATACGGAGGGAAACACCTTGGTGCAATGTTCATCCCCGTCCTTCACTCGAAACTTCCGATTGTAGTTGGATGTAGTTGGCCTCGCTAGCTTTTACATCGTGCAGTGAAGGAGTGGCAGCTTGGAACCATGTGCAAAAGTGAGCGAAAACGGCTGAAAGGATCTGTGGGAGGGCCCGACGATTATACTCTCAGGCCCCTGGCGGCAGGCAGTGTATTCGTCCAGCATCTCCTGCGCTGCTCACGTGCCAAAAGCTGAGCAGAAATCCTGGCAACTACAGGCATCATCTCCTCAAAGGCATGCAGCATGTCACTGCACAATGGCCCAATCACGACGCCAAGGTGCAGAAAAGGAACCCAAGCAGGGCTTATGAGCACAAGAAGCCGCTCGGACTCGGACAACCTCGAACACTGCCCTGCCTTCTTCTCCAAATACTGGTACAAGGTGCCACCTGGCAGGTACTCCAAGACCTCAGCTTGTCAAATGCACGTGTGAATCCTGAGCCCTGTGCGCTAAACTGTTCCTGTGCTTGCCGAGCGACCTCAATGAAGAATTCACGTGTGTCCTGGACATGCTGAAGCTTCACGATGGTCTCCTCAGTGGCATGGAGCTCAGTAACCGAAGGTACGAAAAAACCAAATGCACACAAGCTGGTGCGCATAATTAGGAGTCGCAGCCCGATCTGAAATTACGACGTGATTATAATTATGGACTCCATGAGCCGCAACACATGAAGCTACTAACTACCTGAGCGGAAATCACTCCGAATGGTCTTGTGCTGGGACACGTGGAGAATAGGCCGCTTGACCAAACGCAGCCTTGCAAGCAGCCTCCGCAGCATGCCTGCATTTGGAATCCCAGGGTTCGTTCGAAGTGCTGAAGTTCGTCGCACTAGCGTCAGCTGAGCAATCGCAGTCTGAGAGTTGATGCAGCACCCGCCTTTTGACAAAACACGCCCTGTCCACAAGATCGTTTGACGGCGAGACGATTCAAAAGCTTTCTCTCTTCTGCCGAGGGGCGGAGTGCAGGGGGCCAAGGAAGGGCACGGTTGCGGAGAAGCGACGCTGAGAAGTTGAGGTCCATCCTGGCTCGGAGACTTTCGTTGAGGCTCTTGTCCCTGCTCAGCTTGTGAGCATGGACAGCACCTCCTGGGAAGTAGTAGTAGTAGTAGTCGTCGTCGTCGTAGTAGTAGTAGCAGCAGCGGTAGCAGTAGCAGTAGCAGTAGCAGTAGCAGTAGCAGTACTAGTACCAGTACTAGTTAATAGTACTAGTTAATAGTACTAGTTAATAGTACTAGTAGCAGTAGTAGCAGTAGTAGTAGTAGTAGTAGTAGTAGTAGTAGTAGTAGTAGTAGTAGTAGTAGTGTAGCAGTGTAGTAGTAGCAGCAGTAGTAGTAGTAGCAGTAGCAGTAGCAGTAGCAGTAGCAGTAGCAGTAGTAGTAGTAGTAGTAGTAGTAGTAGTAGTAGTAGTAGTAGTAGTAGTGGTTGTAGTAGTAGTAGTAGTAGCAGCAGCAGCAGTAGTGGTACTGTAGTAGTACATAGGCATAGTAGTACATCGTAGTAGTGGTAGTAATAGTCGTCGTCGTAGTCGCAGCAGTCATAGCTGTTTTTGCCGCAAGCATGGCTGAATGATTCGCGAAGCAAGGTTCAGGTGCCATAGCATGTGAATTCAGGGGCCTGCATTTCGAAGAGGTTTGTCTCAGCCCCGAAGTTTGCACAGTCTGTTCCGGTTAGAGGGAGTAATACTATAGTGATCTTAGTAGAATGTCAATAATAGTTGCTATCCCCGCCTGACAATGTGTCCCGTGGATTTGTCGCCTGAGCAACAAAGGCACAGAAACTCCCTCGAGGCCTTGAGGGGCTAGACGTGCGGACTCAGGGTTTGACACCGAGTGGCATGAATACTTCGGCATGTTGCGATGCAACCGCATAATGCCAACATGAAGAGCTCTTCAACACGCTGCACAGCTTATTTTGGCAGAATCCGACAAAAACTAAGAAGGGATGCCGAATACATGTTCTCAACTCCATTCGAAGCGTTTCATCGTGCACCTTTTTGGTTTTGATCAAGAAGAGCCAGCCTTTCACTGACGTGCATAGCCGCGGGACGGATCCGAATGGCAACAAGGCGGCCCTTCTTCAGCTCTTGCTTCGCCAACTCCTCACCACGAACACAATTTCGCTTAGTCGCAACTTTCTCTTCGGAAGCCTGTTGAAGGCGTGGGAATGAAGTGCAGCGGATTGAGCCTCTGTTGAAACCTGAAACTCGGCTGGCAGGCCTGTGCGGTCGTCGGGTCCACCACATGCCCAGCTGTCAAGCTCCCCCACCCCCCTCCCATTCCGTGCATGCCCACCGGAGTATTCGTGGGGGGTGGCGTTGCTGCTGGATAAGATGTGATGAACATGATGAAACGAATCACCTTCTGTCTGTGACATCTTCGGCGGTCCGAACATGAAGATACAAAGGTGAGGTAAGCATCGGTTGATCAATGACTTGCGAGCCAGTTTGCTTTCCAGGCAGTAGTGTACTGTTGCGGATTCTCGTACATGCCAAAAACTGTGAAGCAATGGCAAAACCAAATGGCCGCCAAGCTATGTGCTACAACCTGAACCTGTTGACAGCAGCGTTGAAACATACAAGTATCTATGGGAACAGCACTTCACCACTGCCACCGCTGCGGCCCTCCAGATGCCATAGCTGGAGGCATGCCAACAGCCCGACTACAAGCAATTCGGCGGAGCTCCAAGACACTGTTGCGAAAACAGCGAGAGCCGGCTCCTCCGGGTCACCTTCTTGGTTCCAGCAGGCGCTGAACACCTGCCAACTAGGCTAACTACGGCACTGGGAACACATTGGCATACGCAGACAAGCCCCGCGTCACGCCTGTCCGTGCGGTCCCTCCCCAAGCACTGTTAGCAAACGGTAGCGCTCCAGTAGGTCATTTGGCACACCTGAAACCTGGCAGGTTGCAATGCCAACGCACTTCACGCTCGAGGGCCGAATAAAGATTCGCACTACGAGTATGAATTGCTGCGTGGCGGCAGGATCACGGGCCCCGAAAATTTCTGCAAGCGCTTCTCGAATCCGCATCCGGATATAGCGAAAACGCCGGGACCTAGTCGTTCAACATGGCTTCGCACACTCCATAACATCTCGTCAGACACATCACAACTTGACCTGCGCATGTGGAACTGCCAAAGCCAAGTGTCAGAAGCCGGTAAAGAATCGTACGCCTGAGTACATACCAAGACGTACCATGTCAGGACATGTTGCCAAATACAAGGACATGCACGTCGGAAGGCTGTACCTACAGCACGAAAGCCACCTCTCCAATTTAATCGAGGTCGCCCGCGAAGACCACGGGCGTTGTAGATTTTCACGATGTGTTCCCGATACTCTGCCTAAAGGTCTCCGGTCAAGTCCCGTCAGTCTGGATACACTTGCAACCAACGCAACAACGGCCTCCCGCTGCGCGATGTCATCCAAACGGTCCGGGCGCGGCTTGAAGGTGATCCATTGGTTGCGCTCCAATGCAGCCCTCCACCAAAAAGCTGTCGAAACGTTATACAAGTGATGATACATGGCAAGCAAACGCTGGCCTTCTCAAGCGCCGTCGGCAAATGATGCGGATGATCGTCCAACCAATGAACTTCAAGATCCTGAAAATGCATATTTTCTGAGTTTTTCTGAGCATGCCGCGGCCAATGTATATTGCAGAGCTGCACAACGAAACCGTGCGTATCTCTTTCCCAAGGCATTCTTTACGCATGCCCGAAAGCACCAACCTCTAAAGCAGTCAGGGTTCTTCCAAAGGACTTGGGCGATGCATTTCACCACCTCACATTGGTTTCGCAGCTGCGCGCGTGCGTGGGCATACAAAAGAGCATTATCTACGGCAGGCCGGCATGCGCTTGAACCTTGCCGCCGCCAGAATCACAAACAGCTTGAATGGCTGTGTCCCACCCTCTTCGTGCAGCGGCAACATCCCACACGGCGCCGACGACTTACCTGTCACGGACATTCACGGACAAACATCAGGGGAATGACCGAAGTATGATGATAATACGTAGCATGTGTTCATGAAGTGTTGGTCACTTGTGCTGACCGGAGCGATAGACTACTCACCCCTGGAGTTAATCCAGTTGGCCTTGCCCTTGAGGGTGCCACTTCCTGCAAGCGTCGTAAACGAAAGCAATGGAAATGCTGAACTACCAACCAAGAACACATCCATGAAACAACTTCGCAAGCCCGAGGGACTGGATGCCCCGGCTGTCAATTGTCGTGACTGCAAGAAGCTCGGCACACTCTTCGCGCTGGGAGACGTTCCTCGGCTGCCACAGGAAAAAACACATTGAGTGGAGCACCGGGGCTTCATGATCGTGTCTCTTGACCAACGTTTCTTACATAATCAATGGCCGTGCTGTGTTCGCCGAGGGATGCCTGACGTCCTTTTTTTTTTTTGTCTGAAACCGTTTCTGCAAACGCTTCGTTGGAAGGCGCGAAAAAACTAACAAAAACTGATTCCAACCCAAGTCCCCATAACGGTCTCGCAGGATGCCGCTGCACACGACAACCCAAGGCCGATGACGCCGATTTCAGCCCACACTGCTGGGCTTGATGGGTTTGAACCGGCCGTCCCTCAATGCCACTGCCGCGGAACTCCATTCGCGCGCGTGTGTCCAATATGCATGGCGGAAAGGCCCGATGTATGACCCATAATGATCTCTAGAACCCTGAAATCGGCCGTGTATGACCGCCGAGAAGAATCCCCGACTCCTTAAGGGGTGAGGGGGTAGAAATTGCCGAAGGCATTTCTGGACCCCCCCCCATGTGAAATCAATCCACATGGCATGCAACCTTTCCGTGGCCAGGGGCGTCAAGGGTTGTTAGCAGATATTCGGCGATGGGGGATCATGGGTACGGTGATGTTGCGACGATTCGGCTATGATGCTGGGCGCTAAGGTGTTTGACTCACTCACTCTCTCGCTCATTCTCCCTTCTGCACAAACGGACAAGCGCAACCCACACACACACACACATGCGCACAAATGCAAACGAAGTGAGCAGCATTTTTTGCATGCCCCGTCCCAGGAATGGCCCGATCAACTGCCGGAAAAAGCCCCCACCCGAGGCATTTTCTATGCCTCGGGCCTAGGACATCTACCGGAATGTAGGATGTGACCCTCGCCTGTGTAGGCATCACCAGAAACTAGGAGGCCGCCTGCATGCCCCGTCCCAGGAATGGCCCGATTTAATGCCGCAAAAAGTTCCCCGACCCCCCCGCGCCAGCCGAGACTTCAGCAGGGTCCCCCGAGCCAGGATATGTACCGGCAAAAGCCCGAAAAAGCTCCCCGACCGCACCACCCCATCGCCCCAGCTGAGACATGTCCAGGGTCCTCGACTCGGATCGGCTTTGCTGGCGCAAAAGTTCCGTTGTTCTCCGTTTCCCCGTGATTCCCCGTAAGCATAAACCCACAGGAGGATATGCCGAAGAGGCTCCCCGACCCCCGCAACCCAGTTGTCCCAGCCGAAACTTCAGGGGGTCCACGACCCGAATCGGCACATGCTGGGGCTTCTGCTGCTGCAACGAAGCGAGCTTTGGCTGGCCTTGAAAGCAATGCTGGTGCGCGATGCTCGATGTGTTTCGAACCTTTCGACACTCCGGGCAATCTACACCTTGTGCTATAACGCCATGGCGGGGCCGGGAGGCTCCTTCCTAGGATGGTCTTTTTGGGTTGGTGAGCATGAGTCCGCCGGGCCCCGAGCGTTTCCGGAGCTGAGCGCAGACCACATCGGAACCGAAACAGAGAGAAGCAGAACCACAAACGAAAACCGGGGAGGGGCCAAGCCGGCAAGGGAGTAGCACACAGCAATGAAGAAGCAATGCCCCGCCACAACGGCCCCAACAGAGACCTCCATGTAGGCCTTGGTTTTGCTCGGGACGAGGGCTCAAAATGACCCTGCGCATGACTCTAGGATATGCGTGTGATGATATGTGAACCTCTGTGCATCGCCTGCGCGGCGATGTGAATCCGCAGAGTCAATGGTGATCGGGGGGACGAGGGGAGAGGAGTGGAGAAGGGTGGAAGGGAGCGGAATGAAGACGAGTGGAACACTTGCATGGATTCGCTCAGCATTGCATTGTGCCTCGGACCCTACAAAAAAAGAGACGGCTTCGTTGTTCCATTCGGCTCCAAATCGGTTTCACCCCGATTCCTTGCGGCGGTTGGTTTGTTTGTGCTTGTGCCGTGCTGGTTTCGGTTCGGTTCTTGCGGGGTCCAACTGAGTTGCACTGAGGGCGTGGGCCCAGTTCCGAGTTCATTGCGACGCGGGCTGAGTTCGGCTTGGGTTGGGGTGTTTTTTTTTTGGAAGCCTTTTCTTGGGTTGTCGGCTTTGGGTCGGTGTTTCTCCCCTCTCGATCCCGGCAGGTGTGGGATTGATTCAAGCCTCGATGTTTCTTGTTCTGTTTTGGCTTCACTTCCGACCAAGCCGTTGGAGCCGTCATGGAGGGAAAAAACGAATCGAAGAGTGCTCCCGTGTCAAGCTGCTGGCACAGGTTCACGAGCAGCTGCGGCACCTTTTGCTTTGCTTTGCGCCCGTTCGAGTCCAAGACTACGGTCCTAAAAGGACATGGGGAATGTCAGGAAAAGCATATGCACGCCTAAGATATGAACAAGCTTTGCAACGTGCGCCATTCGGGCAACGATGCAGCACAATCGATCCAACTATTTCGGTCAAGGTGAGTCGCAGCGAACATGTTTAAGTCATCATCCCAGCGCGTAGCGGGACGACCAGGCTTTCGGCTCGGCTTTTCACTGAAATTATGCCACCATTTTTCTGTTGGTAACCATTTCGTGGTATAAAAGTGCCATCCGAGTTGACCCGCAAGTCGCGAAGCCAGTGTGAATTTACAACTTCGCAGCTGTTTTGTCCAATTGGGTATTGGGTGTTGGCATAAAGCGTAAGAGACCCGAGAGTTCATCCTTCTCATCGTGACCACCCACTCCTCATCGTCCACACGTCGCCAACCAACTATGGACCGCAGCATACGACGTTGAACAACATCAAGGTCAGTAAACTGTTTGTCAGTAAGCGGCAAAGTTGATAGTCCATACAGTACCGCCGGAGTCACAACTGCTTGAAACAGCTTCAACCTGTTCTTCAATGAGACATGTTTGTTCAGCAAGCTCTGCCGATGTAAATGAAACTTGTGCAACCCGAATACGGTGTGAGTATTCCACGGCTGCACGCTCACGGAGATTGCCACACAATAAACGTCCGAGGTAAGGATGTTGATCTTTACCGTGCAAAACCGCAATCATGTCTCCATGCACATCCAAATACATTGGCGATGCCAGCTCCGTTGTCGTCAAAATTTTTGTTTTCTTCGGATTGAGTTGCAAACCGACTTTCAGAAGCTCTTCCGACACCACTTCCAACATGTAGGCCAATTCAGATGACGATTTGCTGTAAATCATCAAGTCGTCTGCAAAGCGAATGTTCGTCAAACGTTCGGTGTGACCCACGTGAATACCACAGTCACGGATGCGGGATTTCCAAGATTGTATCGCTGCTTCAAGCCCAGCGTTGAAAAGCAAAGGGCTCAAAACATCACCTTGTTTGACTCCACGCGTGATGCGAAATCTGCGGCTGCCATGAACAGATCCTGTCTGACCCAAGTACAATGCCTTCAATAGCTGTATGTACGAAGATTCCACACCCTGTTTCGCAAGTGCAGCAAACAATGCGTTGTGTTCCATGCGATCAAAAGCCTTCGTAAGATCTAAGCTTGCAAACCACAAGTTGCATTTCCACTCAACTGATTTGCCACATATGGTGTCAAACACTGCAAAAGCATGATCAGTCCCGCGATGCGGACGAAAACCCACTTGGTCGGGTGACTGGTAACTTTCCAGCAGCGGTTGCAATCGCGAGCACAACATCTTCGAGAAAATTTTGTAAGTCACTTTCAATATCGCAATCGGGCGCCAATTCGAAGCCACTGAAGCATCACCAGTCTTCGGGAGCATGCTGAAAACGGTATGGCACCACTTCGGATCCCAAACGTGTTCATGTAGCATATGGTTGTACATGCTGAGTAAGCACTGATGTAACATCCCGCCGGCATGAATAAACATTTCCAAGACCAAGCCATCGCCGTCTGCAGATTTACCATTCCGAAGCTGTTTCAAAGCCAACTGGAGTTCAGCATCGTCGAATGCAGGAATCTTGTCAACACACGACTGCGGGCAAGTAAAAGGCAATGACGCGTGACTGTCATCCTCAGTCGAAAAGATGTTCTCCAAAAAATCGGCGAAGTCATCCGGGGAAGGTTGCGTCGAACAACTGTGTCGTTTTATGTTATCATCTTGAACAGCATGAAGACGATTTAGGCTGGAAAATTCGCTCAGGATCTCGTTCAACTTCTCATTACGTCGTAGACGCATATGGCGACGCAAATGTTTTCGAATAAGCTTGGAAAGATGTGCCCGCTCCACGGCACATCTGCATTGCCGTCGTTGTTGAAGTAGGCCACGAAAATCTTCACGTTCCCAAGGCTTCTTTGCATCAGTGGATCGTTGGGTGCAACTTTCTGCCTGTTCTGCACAACGTTTAACACCATCTTCAAGCTCCGAAAGCGTCTGTGGCTTTGATTTTCGCAACCAGTCAACGAGCAATGATTCGCGACAACGTTGACGCGCAACACGTGGTTTTCGACATATTTCAACCTCAATGCATCCATGCACTGCCCTGTGATCGGAACCTAAATCGAAATGGCAAGATGTACAAGCTGATCGCGCACTCAACGAAACATGACATAGCAAAAAGTCAATACGCCTCCTGATGCCCATGCTGCTTTCGAATGTCCATGCCTCCTGTACAGGTGAATCCCTGTTCAACACTGCAACGCCATAGGCTAGACACATCTGTTCAAGCAGATCGCCACGTGTTCCAATGCCCAGTTGTGTATTGAAATCTCCCCCAACCATGTACGCAAAACCGCGCCGACGAGCATCCTCAAGAACAAACTGAAGCTGTTCGTACATGCGTCGCAGATCGTCGATCGGATATCCAGCGTGGGGCATGTATACTGACACAAACCGGATAATGCGCGCACCGTTCTTCAGGTCCAAATACATCAAGCGGTCATCGAGTACACGAACTTGTTGCACATAAGCTTTATGTTTGGAGTGTAACGCAATTGCAACACCTGCACAAGTTGTGGCCCTGCGTGAACCATACAGTAAATGACCTCCGTCCAATGTTAATTTGTCGATGTTGGCCCTAGTCTCGCTGAAAAGGACCACATCCCACATGCATTGCTGCATCTCACCCAATAACTCCAAAAGTTTTGCGTTTGAATGAAGTCTTGCATTTTTACAATAAATGTGCATATGCGCCTGATTTGAATTCACTTGCACTGATTCATCGCCATGTCTTGCTTTCGTCGACTTAACCACGTGAACAGGTTGACCCGTCGTGAGCGACCGAGAATTTGCACCAGCTGAAAATTCAAGCTTTGCGCGAGATGAAAATGCAGGTGCGTGTTCCGAAAATGGACTCGAACGGAGATGTCCCTAGGCATTGCCACGACCGCCTTTGCTCTTGCCCTTGCCCTTGCTTGTGATGTCCTTCTGCAGCATCTCATTTGCTCGAGTGATCAATTGACGAAGTTCCGAAGAATTCTGAAACTCCGCCCACTGTGCCCAGTCGTCAGACCATTGGCATTCCAGCTGCTGAGCTTTGATAGACAAGGAAACCACAACACCCTCACCAACCTTCAGGCGATCATAGTTGTCGTTCAGCTCCATGTCTCGTTTCATGAAGCCCCACTCCCCAAGCTGCCATTTCAGTCCCATGAGGAAAACTTTTTGAGCACGTTTCTGTAGCGGAAGGTCTTGCGTTGCCCAAATCCTTTTGCCACTCTCATGCAACTCCGCACTTCTGAGCAAAGCAACGGCCGTGTCCCGATCAACACAAGATTTGAATTTGGCAAATAACAATCCACGGAACTCCTGCGACTTCATGTACGTGCCGATATGCGGAGGCGAGCTGAGTGAACTCAATTTTTGCGTCAACCACTTGGTAGCGTCCTGTACGGAGGAAAAGCTGTCCAGCCCACCTACGACCATCGTTCGAGCATGATCCGGCTGGACGGCAAGCTCCGACGATTTCAAGGATGCCAGTTGTGACTGTAACTCTTGCACCTTGCCTTCCAAATCTAGGCTTCGATCGGACAACAATGTACGTGGAGTGTCTCCGATTTCAGCTACTCGTTGCTCCAGCTTCTCAAGCCGAACTCCTTGAGCAGACACTGTGTGTTCAATGTCTTGCATTTTCTGGCCCAGGGAGGTCTGAATGTAATCAAGCTTCTCATCCATGGGAGCTAAGGCTCTCTGGATCTCATTGCGTACGATGTTCGCCATCTGAGCGACATTTGCACCTCGACCCGCATCGTCATGACCGTCATCATCTCGCTCTATTCCATCCATCTCATGCAGTGGTGATCTCGTCGCTCTTTTCAAGCCCTTCGCAGGCGGTGTCATTGCGTGATTCATACTGGGGCAAACTACGAGAGGATCGCTTGAGCGTGGTCTTGAGCCAAAATGGCTTGAGCCAGCTGCGACACCGTCACGTTTTTTTCGCTGTTCCCCAGGCTGCCTCGTTCCCCTGCCGCGGTTTTCGCAGCCAGACAGTGCATGCATGGCCGAAACCCCCACGCAATATGTCGGCCCACCTACCACAGCCGTATGTGCATGCTGGCTGCCTCGTGCCCCGAATAGGATGTAGAAGTGCAGCTCGGCACCGGGACCTGTGGAACCCTGCCCTACTAATCGGGCTCCTCCTCCAGATCCTGGGCTTTCTTCGGTGACTTCCTGGGCTGTTGTGTCTCCAAACCCTTTACACTCAAACCCTAGAAAGCAAGTGCCATTAGGTTCGCCAATAGCAACAGCACACTTACATTCACAACGGTAGCCAACAAACATGAACTCAGCCATCTCCCGCAGCAGCGACCGCAGGGTCTCCTGATGCCCAACGCAGGATGTGAGCCATCCTCGGACCTGCAGGTCAACGAATGCGCAAGACAGCAGACCAGCACACCTGTCCAACCCGAAAGCACACACGCTCGGCCGCACCTTCAACCTGTACTAACCCGCGATCGCACTCCCCAGTAAGCAGCAAAAAACGTCTATGGAAATGGGGAGCATGTCGGCGAGCTTGATGCTGTTGTACGGATCCCCGAGCGCAACCTCGTCCAACCCAGTGTCCGCAACCGGGCATGTCGGGTTGAGGCTGCAATCGTGCACCAACAAACCTCGAAGCACCTGGGATACAAGTTTCTGCCCGGCCTTGCTGCGGGTGAACTTATCTAGCGAAATCTCCAGGACCTTGGCCGGGCTTCTTCTTTGGCATCCGTCCCTTGCTCAGCTTCATTATCACCCAAAGCAGGTGCCGCAGATTTTCAAGCTGAGAAAAACCACACACCAATCTTGAAGAATAAATCTTCTTCTCTTAGGGATGGGTAAGCCCAGGGTAAGCTAGAGCTCGTGGTGCCCGTGTGCCGTGGCTTCTGCGGCCCAGTTGCTGCCTGTCCGCCGGGGGACAGATGGCAGCAGAAAGCGTCTGGGCCAGTCTTCGCATTGATGACATCCAGAGAAGGACCCGCAGCAAAAGCAAAATGTGCAAGCACTCGACAGACTGTTTGGATCTGACCCCGCTGATGCGAGACCTGAGCCCTCACGGGTTAGCTCTGTTCTGAACACGTTTGCTCTTGGACAAGGGCAAGTTTTCATGAAAAGATCGCTGAATGCCATTGAACTCCGGCAGTTTTGGAAAACGCAGCCTGCGAAGAACACAGTCGGACCTGTAGCAATGGTTCTTTGGCATAGCTGTCTGACGGCATGCGCTTCCAGGTGCCGCGAGACTTGTCACACCTCTGCAAAGTCAGGGGTTCCGAGGTTTGCCGACGACGCTGAGTGAGATGGCTGCAAGGCGGTCGCCTGGCGAAGTCGGATTGTTCTTGTCCTTGTACTGTAGCTCTGGCGATCTACACGGCCACGGTTTTCAGATGGAATGCCGCTGCAGCAGCCGTATTTTGGAAAAGTGTTACATGGCCGTTGATTGCAACGTGACCCTTTCTTCATTCTCATCAAGCACCCCGTCTCGATGCAAACAAAAACAGCCCAGGAAGGAGTGCGGACCTTGGGACGTAGCTTCAAGCAGGTTACGCGGCCAGCTGAAATGAGGGGCCCCGCGTTCGCCGTGGGCCGTCTGAGGGGGCTCAGGTTAAATGCAAAAAAACATTTACATGTCCAGCGCGCATGCTGGATCCGCCAACACTAAAATGTTGCTTTACAGAAGGGGTCCCAGATTGTTGTTCGGGCCTTCCGAGCGTCTCTAAATGAGGACAAAGGTGTGTTGGAAGAATTGGGGGTGCCAGGTTGTGTTGCACTGTGAGTTCCGAACGGCACTAAAACTTGGGCAGTATCACGAACTTGCGGTCAGCGGGGGGTCGGGCTTCCAGTGACCGACTTGATCCAACGAAGCTAGGGAAGTGACTGAGGATGCTCATGTGCCTTCAATTTTTTCGGGCTGGCCGACTGGCCCTTGCGGCACTGGAAGAACCAACGCTAGCAGAGTGGAGTGAGATTGCGTTGGGTTGGCCAGGTAGATAAACAGGCACACTGTTATCAACACTGCACATGTGCGTGCGCGCGGGCGGGTTGTGTATGTGATAGGGTCAGGTACTGGAAGGCCTGGCAGGTCGCGAAATTGCATTACAGGTTAACGAGCACCGAAATCGATGCCAGTCGTTGGAACAAACGCGGTGTTAAGCGCATGGCCACCGCTTCGCACTATTCTCGGTTTGGCAGGTCGCGCAATTGAATAAAACTACAAGCCAACAATCACCGAAATCTATGTGAGCTTTGTGTCCCACGGTGCCTGCTCATTCCCGTCGCTGGAACAAACTTGGTGTCAAGCGCATGGCCACCGCATACGCACCATTGGTCGTGAAATTGGATTACAAGCCAACGAGCAAGAAATCGATGCGGGTTTTGTGTCCCGTGGTGCCTGCTCGTTCCAGTCGCTGAATTAAATTTGCTTTTACATGCATGGCTACCGGCTCGCTTATTTTCGGTTTGGCGGGTCGCTACATCGAAGTACGGGGTCAACGAACACCGAAATCGATGTGAATTTTGTGTCCTTCGGTGCCTGGTTGTCAAGAGCTCGTGAGAGAAAGTGGGTCTAAGCACATGACTCCCGATTCGTGCTGTTCCTTGTTTCGCATATCGCCGGATTGAATTACAGGTCAAGCCAGCACCACAACTGATAAAAGTTTTGGTGCCCTGCATCGCGTTTTGACATGACAGAAGTCTCTCCCTGTCTCTCTTCCTCTTCCTCTTGTTCGGTCTCTACGGGCACCCCCGGGGGCTCGATCGTGCCGAGGGTGGTCCCTGGAGATCTTGCTGCTCCATGACCATCGAGACTCAGGGCTTATAGGACTTGTGAGAACTTGAGAAGGACTGCAGCTTTCGCGCTCGACACTAAGGATAACTGCGACCCCAAGCTCGCACACCAGAAGCAATGGTGATGCAAAATGAAGAAGCAAGCGGTGATTGCAGGGGTGGGTGCAGCCGGACTCGCCGCAAGCCACATATGCCGAACCAGAGTCTGGTGCGACGACCATAAACCCGGCACTGTGTTGCGACACAACATTGTTATCGCCACTGACGCAAACGCGGCAACCACAGCTAGGCACGGCGAACGTTGATGGCCGGAGCGCAAGAGTAGCGCGCTTTTGTGATGACGCACAGCGTCTGCTCAGGAACTCACTTTGGGTGCGACGACACGGCTGGGACATGTGGGGCAGCTTTGCATTGATCTGAGCCGTCGGCTTGCTCTCCGCAGCCAGCAGAGGGGCCGAGCCGCCTGCCGGCAGCCTCAGCGAACGAAAAGGCGGTCGAGTGATGTCAAGTGGCCCGACAGCTGGCCGAGGTAAGTGTTCGCACCTTCCTGCTGCATTGCAATTGCAGCAGAACGCTCGCTAAACCAGCGACATGATCCGTCCTGAAACCGAACTGGGCCGCAGTGGGCAGGAACAACACGGCAAGTTGGCAACACGATAAAACAATTGACAACCTCGAAGCTTGACAAAGCACGGAGGACAAGTACACGCAAGCAAAGCGAGTTTAGGGGAGTTGCAAAGTGTGCATGTTGGAATGGATGGCTGGGTGGCGCCCGTCGAGTGCAAGACTCCGCCGTGCAGTAAAGCGTGGCTGGTTCACGCCGCAAACGTGATCAACAGATGTGATGATGTGGCCATGCAAAATTTTCGGCAAATCCTGGCGCGGCTGAGCCTGCGATGCTACGAGGCAACAAACGTGACGCCACAGCTGCGATGATACGAGGCAACAAGTGGGACGCCACGCAAACAGTTCGACATTTCGATCTCTTTGTTGCCGGGGCATGACGGCACGAACACAAGAAACTTTCACTAATTACTCTTTCTTTTTCAACGGCGTGGCCTGCATATACGGCTGGCGCATGCTGGCACCTTGATTTGCCACGACAAACGTTCGGGAATTTCGGGCTAGGGCAAGCTCATTCTGGGTCTGATGCCGCCCACGGCGTAGTTGCCAGGCTCGACATCGGCACAAGGACGCTTTTCGCCAAGCCGCGCGACAGGTGACACGATATCGGCTGCGATGCATGCTGCCGGAAATGGTTCCAAACAGCATGATCTCGACGTTGCACTGCGGTACTTGGAAAGTCTAAGTGTATTGATGATCCGCTGAAATCGGTTCAATGCGGTGCTCGCACCCGTCGCATGCTTTGCTGCTGGATTTTGGGCAATGCAACATGTAGAATGGAAACTGATGAACGTGGAATATCATCGTAATATCGTTCCTTTGTTGGGGTCCCCCGTCAGATGCTGATTGGAGTATTGGAGGTTCCCCTGGCATGAAATGTTGCGTGATTGGAGTGCGAAAGTTTTCCTTCCTTTCCGAAACCACCAGTGCATTTCATGGGCATCAGAAGTTCTGAAGCGTCACTGGAAATTCGCTGCTCGCAGGGATTTGACAGACCTGGCCGCTTGGCCGTCAGCAACACAAAGGGGAAAACGACATACACATGTTTTACACATTCTAGAATGGGCGATTGGAGAACATATGCGGCAAGTGCCGGCCCGGCAGCACTCCAACTGGGTTGGAGACTATGGGAAATGTGCAACATGACATCGGGCAAGTGGTTCACACGTGGTATCAGAATTCTGCAAACATCAACGCTTCGTTTATGGGGACGTACGTTCTGTTTGCCAAAATGTCGCTGAAAGTCCTCGGGGTGCTCCTGATGCCGGCTCAAGTTGCTCGGCAAAAATCGTCCAGTAGCCAGTCGGAATAAAAAGCAGTATGACGAGAACTGCGCTAGGAAATCATCCTGAAACACAACCCTTCCTCAACTCAGCACTGGGACGCCCGATGATACTGGTAGGAAGGGGGCGGGCAGCAGCAGTGCTCGGGCCCCAGCGAAAGCCGATCGGTATTTGGGCCAAAGCGGCGGGGTTTGGTTTTGCAAGGACCGGATCCTCCACTGCGGCCCGCCACCTTCCTTGCTAAATGCATCCTAAGCCTTTGTGTGTGGCCAACACTCACTGAGCATATGGTAGCATGAAGCGTGAACGGAAAACTGGAGCTTTGATTCTTAGGTGCCCGACGAGTTCCCCTGTCTCAAATGTTGAGCAGTCCATGCTGTGACTATAGGTTCGTGGCATCCTGCCAATATTTGCTGTAGCCACGTGTGAAGACGGCAAAGGCGAAAGCAAGCAAACTCATGGGAGATCGTCGTCGAGGCAGACGATAATTAGTACATTTCGTAAGCCAGTATGAAGCTAATCCGCATTGCTGGCTCTAACGGCCGTCCAGCGCAGGTGTTGCTTGAGGTGCTTGGGACGCCTTAACAGTATCTTCGACCTTCTTGCAACGGAATCGAAGTTACTTGGATGGGCGTCGTTTGACACCACTGCTATCAAGTCGCAGTCGCCTCTTAGCCTCCAGGACTTGCGAACTAGACTGACGACAAGCAAGCCGGCAGCCGGCATGAGCTGCAACTAGGATTCCCAGTTGTCGCGACGAAACTCCGAAGCTTCCGATACGCCCACTGGTTGCTGATGGACTGAGGTCCGGCAAGTTGCTGTGGCTGGCCTCGCGAAACCGTTAGAATCAGAACCACTAAAAAAACGAAATATGCAGTGAACGCATGGTAGGCATCTTGGGCAGAATAGCAACACGTGAAACTCTAACAGCTGCCACCTTCCGTATTAATCACAAGCGTCACGACAGGTCCCCCATGGTCGCTGTGGCCATCAACATCAAAAAGGCAGCATCGATAGCAGCGACAGTAACACAACCGGTAAGTACAGTAGCTGTCGATACAGCGACTGGGGCTATAGTAATCAGAGCTGAGAGGACTCGGCACAATAGGATCAGCAAGCACAAGAATAACATAAAGTACTCTGTCTCTTACTTAATCCTCAATGTACCAATCAACAACAAACCTCGCATAATTTTGCTGCTACCATTAGTTCCTATCAACGATCCGCAATAAGATAAGCAGCAGCTAGTCCTATTTGGCAGATGTCGCTGTTGCAGCGTAATTGTTACATTGATGACCAACATCACCATCCGCTCCCCACCGTTCACGAAACCTGCACTGGCGCATCTGAATCGTCAGGCATATCGTGCCATTCGCAATCGGGTCCATGTCGCAGGTTCACGCCATGGGCGAAGCATGAACTTGCTCATGAGGAATATTGTTGGTTGAAATACTGCTGGCAGCTTCGTGCCACGATGTTTCAACAATGGCTGCATAACATTATGCCATCAAGCATGCCTGCCGCAGCCAGACTAGTTCATTGCGCAGGTCTGCAAGTCAAACGATGATTCCTGGAAAAACTCATGACTGCGCAGCCACCATGGATCATTTGTTTGGTTGTATGCTCCAAGCAACATGCATGTCACTGAGTTCGGGCAGAAGGAATCGCGGTCGAGCTTGCGAACCAGGCCACAAACGCCTGATGTCTTGTAAGGAGTACAACATCCATGATGCCTTGTAAGGAATACGTGCATGTACCCGCATGCGCTCAATCTCTCCCACAGGGCAGGCCAAGCAGTGAAACCAACTCTCACTGCAGAAATTTGCTGATGCAGATGCAGCTTCAAACTTCAATATCTATCATGGCTAGTATGGGTCCTTGATGCAAGCTTCTGACGAAACATGCACCTCATGTCCAACCCCATGCTACTCGTCCTAAACGTTGACTTCGACTGTAATAAACGACGGAGCAGCTTTTTTTCGCAGGCATGCGCGTGGCAGTGTAAGACCAAAGCAGCAGGTGAGAGCTTGCTTGTCATCGAAAAGAATGGAATAAGGTTATGGCAACTGTGCTTGCGTGGGATGAACGACGAGGGGGATGGTTTGTACAAAGCAACAGGCTCGTGCTTAAGAATAGCAAGCCAGACTGCTGTATCGTATGTTCAAACTCAGAAAAGCGTCTCAACATGTCGCAACTGAGGATGACATGCAAGTGGATCAATTGTGCAGCGGGTTGCTCAAGTTTTACAAGACTTCCAACTAACTAAACTGAAGGACTGTGGGAGATCGCTTAAGTAGCTCTGCCATGGTTGGCTCACGCCGTCACGAAGCAAGCTCGCCTCCAGAGACATAGTTGTGTGGGATGATAGCTGCTCACTGCAATGCACGGTGTGCTGCAAAACAAAAGCTTTGAGTCTTTCAGTTGGGGCTGCGGTTGACTACAATTTCACGGTTTCAGGATCAAGGATGATAGCCTGCTAGACATAACAATCTGCTTTGTTTTAAAACTCACGTTTGGATTTCCGGGAGCAGCAGCTTCTCTTGATGAGACAGATCGAACTGTTCTATGTCGGCCTGTGAGATGATGCAATGGGTTCGGGCTCAACAAGAATTGGAACCTTTGATATGGACGATGACCTTTGACTGCACGCAGAACTCACGCTTGCTTGAACAATACCACTGTCGAATTGTCATCGCGGTCGTCATAGCACTGGCGGGTTGCAAATCATTCTGCAGCCTGGTGGCTTTGTGGCTTAGGAGTTCTCCTCCATCATCCTGGGAGATGTTGAAACGTTCTCTTGGCCCAGAGTCGCAGGGCTTGGGGGTTGAGACTTCAGGTTGCGTGCTCAAACCTGAACTCGGGTCAGTTCCATGGGCGTACAATGTTACAAACTGTCCACGTCCCACAACTTCAGGCTTGTGGTGTGGGCTGAATGGTACCAAGCATCTCTTTCTTCAGGCGCAGCCATCGCTTTGTGGCCCTGGTGCGCTTGGAACGTGCAGAAAACCCATTCTCGGAATGCAGACGTCTTAAAAATCCAAACTCATGGAAGGTCAATCAAAAAAGTGTGCCAGCGAGCCTGACGATAATTCGCAGCTGGAACAGATGAAACACCAACACCTTAAGTTGTTTGCAAGACATGTGTTTTAAACACAAAAGATCAGTCGAGACGTTGCTTCGCGACGAAAATTGAAACCTTGACTGTCCCAACTCATTAACAAAAACCAGAGTCGCTAAGACTTGAAGCGTTGAACCGAACACCAACTTGTGAAACCCAACCCTATACCAGCTTTAACCGTTCTCCCTTCAACAGGAATCAACACGGCTATCAAGCCCGTCGCATGGCGCATGATTGCAACAAGCTTATGTCTTTGGGCGGATTCGAAACGACAGAATTCGCTGAGCCCTGCTCCAACCTTGGCCGATGCATGGCTGGGTGCCGGCGGCCACGGCCCCAAAAGCCGTAAGCGGCCTGGCAGGTGTTGAGGGGCTTGGCACTGTGGAGATCTTGCGGTACTATCAAGTCTGATGCGGCTTCGGGGGACCTTAGCACGATTCGCACGCCGTCACGCCTCTATGGCGCTTCAACACTGGCTCGACTGACTCATACCAAAAACTCTATCTGCCGCTGAAACATGCTCGAACTGAACTGGCCCAATCACCAGCTACTTGTGGTCCCCTGAGCCGGGTTCGCCTAAACCAGTAATAGTAGAAGCATTGTCTACCCTGACCGCCGGCCTTGAAACCATAGATCCTTGGACGGCTCAACAATTCAATGCTGGGTCGTTGGAGCCTAATCGTAAGCAATGCGACAGCTCCTTGAGAGTCTATCCGCGCAGGGCAGAAGATAGGATCCCGGATTCCGCGATTAAGCTTCCAGGCTTACAAGCCGCTGTGAGAAACGGCATGTGTAAGCCAATCGGACGACCTGCACTCCTTGGTGATAAGCCCTCAGCCGCAAAACCAGCATCCCTCCGAAGTAACAAAACTCATTTACTGCAGTCACGCGTCTGGGGTCCACCAAAGCCAGCTGATTGCAGTTCCCATTTTATCTCCTGGCTCGATTCCAGCTGCAGCGGTGCAGCTCCACGAAGACTGTGCTCCCAAGTTAGAGTACAAAGAAGATTCAATTTGTCTCTCGGTTAGAACCTGAACTTGCGAAATCCCTCAACCCCCTAATGATTTTTGTCATACTGGCACCCACGAAGTGTGGTTGCCAGCAGCGCCTCGATGAACTCTTCGTCGGCGAAAAGGTCTTCGTCCATGAAATCAACGACTCTGGGGTTCACCCTGCGCACGGCCGAAATCCTTACACCGATGCCTTGCTATACATATAGGACCCATGGACCTAGAAACATGTGCTACTGAATCATATACATACATGTACGTATACATAGACATAGGCATAGACATGCACGTGTATGTATATATGTATATACACATAATACTTAGATTGAGTAATTAAGTATATACAAGTACATACACATGTACCTGTGCAGGTACATGCACACGCACACATACATACATACATACATACATACATACATACATACATACATACAATACATACACACACATACATACATACATACATACATACACATACAGACATACATACATACATACACATACATACATACATACATGAAGACATGCATGCATACTTACACACCTACGTACCTACATACATGCGTACGGACGTATCTGCAGGTACTCATATGTCCGTGCACAAACACACCCATCTGATACATACATATATATATATATATATATATATGCATAAATACATCTGTACACGCAACTCATGTTCCTATATGTCCAGGTGAGACATGCATACTGGGTGTGAGCATTCGCAAACTTTTCTGTGAAACCTTCCGTTTTTGACAACGAACTTCTTTCCTCCAACTCTCTTCCCTCAAACTGTTCCAACACCATTGTGCCGCAACTGCAGTCCCAAGCCCCCTAGCCTTCAAAGACGGGACCCACTTTCGAAGACATCTTGGGACCTCAAACATGCCGAGACACCTTCCAAGTCGGATCGAGCCGCAAGATACCCGAAGTCCGAAGTATTTATCCCAAGCCCTGGATCCTAAACTGAACTCAAGAAACGCCCACAGACTCGCAAGGTTAAAGAATCAAACCAAGGCATTCACAAATTCTGAGGATGAAGGGCGGTAAACAAAAAGTTAGCGGATCGTCGGGTCGCCTCACCATCTTCTTGACGAAGTCACGGTCACTGCGAAGTCGCTCGGAAGCGTGTGCAAAGCCCCTGAAGTAAAGAAAGCTGATGTCAGGCTTAGTGCATCTCAGCACCACGTGATGCTTTGAGACATGGTTTCAGATCGTCGGGCGCATGGGGGCTGGGTCCGATGCTCTACTTCGATGAACTGAAAACGACGACCCGAGGTTGACCGCTTCGATGTCGCATGGGCACAGCTGTTGCCACGTAAAGGAACGCCATCACTTTCCGCAACAAAGGGAGTAGCAATGCCTGGAAAGGTTGTAACAATGCAAGCAAAACAGTGGCAAGCCTAACTGGCACACGACCAGTAGCCGAGCAAGCCGCACGACGGTACGTGGCAGCCAACTCTACAGAAGTCCGTAAATGGATCAATGCGACGAGAGCACCGCATCAGATCGGCAATGCAAAAGTCACCCAACAAGAGCTCGGCTTTCCTGTGGCCTCGGGTCGCCCACAATGGCCTCAGCCACAAACTCCTCGCTGTCGCGCTCCATCTCCTGGTGAAGTTGCATGGAAGCGTGCTCTTGAATAGCCGAGAGGCTGTGTGGGGCTGGAAGCATCTGTGGTACACGCAGATCATTGGCCCGGTTCATGACGGCTGAATTTGAGAAGCAAGTAAATATCAACATGACAATGTTAAAAGCTGAACATCTAACCCCAAGTATCGTAACGAAGGCCGTCTAGGTCAACACAACAGTGATGAGCAGGATGTTTTGATTGTGTGCAACTTCTAAAGTCCGAAAACTGCAGGCATCAGCAACGTGCTGCCCAGCGGCAGAAGCCTGCTGCATCCTTGTGTGGCATTTCCAAGGTGTTTCGAGCTTTAAAGCAGTGTCGCCAAATGGAGTTTCCGACTATACTTACATGGTCGCGCAGCTTCGTCCACGAAGAACTGACAGCAATATGGGGTCTGGGTCTCAGGAGACACCATCTTGAAGTCAAGTCGCTTTGACGGTGTCATGAATGCCTGGCACGTAACACACTCCAGCAAAAAAGAGTCTGGCAATGCCAACGCCCCGGTGCCAGGGCGATGACCGCACTGTGCTACACGACACAATCATTGCTTGGCAACATCACTCAAATCATCATGAATGCACATCGACTGCTGTGCGGATAACCATGCGACCTACTCCTCCTGCTTGCTTCTTTATGTGACATAGGGGCGCGCGCGCGCGCGTGTGTGTGGTGTGTGTGTGTGTGTGCGCACGTGTTTTTCGAAACAGGGCGCCACGATATCCCGCTTGCGGAATCTGCGGCTGCGCATTGCCACACCTCGCGAGCCATCAACTGCAAACTTTCCAAAGGCAACATACTGATCCCGTGAGCGCGAAACAACAGTTCAAGTGCCTTGCTCTGAGCGGCAGTTCAGTGTTCCCACGAGTGGAGGGAATACAGGAGAGGCCATGAGCAAGAACTCAGCCGAGCAGCTCGGAGTTCTTTCTGCCGGTGCTGGCGCGCCCGTGACGAAGGCAGGAAGAATCCATTGACAAACCTTCATCAAACAGTATGCCATGCGGGGTTTGTCCTTTCGGGGAATGACATTCATTTCTCCGATGCTGACCAGCAGACGGCGTCATTGCAAGTGCAGGTCAGTATATAGGCCGGCTATTCGTCAAGCACACCGATTTCTCTACTTCTGAGTCTCAAACCTTCACTCGTCTGCCGATCTAACTTGGCTTGGGTTTGGTCAGGTCCAAACAAACCTCAAGACCTGGCATCCTCAACACCGCAGAACCAAACCAAGCTCCTCCTCCACAAACCCGTGCCTGCATGCATGTGCACGCAAGTACAGAAAGCTCGGACCCAAATTTAATCAAAACCCTCCGACTGTTCAATGATCAATGCCCCAAATTCCCTAAATCGTAGAGGACCCACCGCCTGCGCCAGCACCGCCAAACATAGGAGGGCCGGCAGCGCCCTCAGCGCCATGGCCGAGAAACCTGTCTGGGCGGATTCAAAAGCAAGGAGCCCTGAGGTTGGGGTGCAAAACGGGTGGCAGGGCTTGAAAATTGAAAGCATAAGCCTAAGCTTTAAAGTTTCGGGCCACTGGTTCAAGTGTAAACTATAACCAATGCTTACTTCATCTTCCGTGCTTCCAAACCAATGACTGCTTCCAGGATGTATATACGCTCTGATTTGACATGCAAGAGACAAATGCAGCGCGGGTTCAAGGTTAAAGGCGAGTGGAAAACGGTTAGGGCCCTCCAAGTTGAAAATGGCTGAAGTCTGTTCGTGCGAAGTTTGCTTTACTGGTTTGGGAATTACAGCTCGAAGGCTCCCCAGATTCCAAGTCAGGAAGCGCTTCGGGAACTCGGTTGGCCAAGATCGAACATGCAAACCTACCGAATCACATCCGCATATGCACGCAACAAACGAACATGCGGGTACGACTCCCTTGAGAAGCATCGAAGTATTCAGCTCCAGGCATTCTCAACTCTGAGGAGCCGACCGGAGCGCCGGCTTTGTTGGGCGCAGCCAAATTGTCTGAAGAGCCAAGCGCCATGCAAATCAATTAGATATGGAAAAGTCTTCATGGCATGGAGAGCGGCTCCTCTAATGTGCAGCTTTTTTGTTTATCTGGCAGCCTGCAAACAGCAAAAACTTGTTCGTAGAAATGGAGGTTGTAAAACGGTTATTGTGCTTGTGGATGTATTTTCTGGACGCCCTGCCCCCCCCCCCGCCCCGCCCCGGCACATTGTACACAAAATTCAGTTGGATTGCAACCCCTGGCCTCTTCGCTCGACATGGTCATTATGCAATGATCCCTGTGCACTGCAACCCCCGTTATCGTACAACTCACCCTCGTGGGACTATTCAATCCAAGCTTAAAGCGAAGTGCAAGCAGGCGTAGTTCACAACGTGTCTCCGGACCAAGCTCCAAAGCAGCGACAGTCTGCCTCGACTGGTTTTTCGAGTCTCGGTGAATCACAAAATAACAAACACTTTGCTGAACATTATTGGAGCTATGTCAAAGCCCACATGAGACATGAATTGGTATGCCGGCTTGCCCCCCTTCTCCCCTTCCACCCGAATTCGGACTTTTGGAGTGCTTGACTCGCTGCACCACTCCGCTCTCCGCTCTGCACGAACATTTCGCGGCCCTTTTGGCCGCTGAACAAGACTGTACAAATCTCTCTGGGCGAGACATGGTGCGATTGAATTACCACGGACGGCACGGCACTTGCCGTCGAGCTGCACATGCTTGAACTGTTGTCATGAAGATACACGGAGCTGGGGAAAAAGCAAGGAACGCATCAGTGTTGCCATTCAACGATAAAGTTGTGACAACAATGCATTGCACGGCTGATCAGGCTGCTGCCGGCACTGGGATTGCAGCCTGGATCACCAACAGTGGAACTTCTGTTCGAGTGGTTGGGGCATGCTCTGGGGCTACAGTTCACGCAAGTCAGATCCCCGACTCAGTGGCAAACGAACAGCCAAACCCGAAACCGAGGCTTGTACTGGCACGGCAGTCGGGACCTTCAAGCGCTGACTATGTGCTTCTTGAACGCCCGGAAGCTGTCAGCAATCTGCAGCATGCATGCAGACGCACATGCGACATACTCAGGCATGTGCATTGCATCCATAGCCTGCATAAGCCTGCATACGTCCACATATCCTGTTAATACGCATGAACAATTGAGAACAATGAACACATTTGAACGTTCCGAAATTGACTCAGCCCGAGGCCTCCTGCTTCGGGGCCTTCCAACCCTTCTCTGTCAGCTCCTGGCATTCGCAGGGGTGCGAACTTCAGAACATGCTTCGGCACGGGTTCGATTCCGGGATTCAGGGCTTGGCATATGACATCGAGGTTTGAGGCACCTCGGCGCCTCGGATTTCAACTCCCTTCGTCCGACATGGGGTTGGTGCTCCAAAATGTGCGTAATCCAGAGAAGCTAACAGGTAAAGTCAACTTTTGAGATCTTTCTAACGAACACAAGCTCTGTGAGCTTGCATTGTCCTTCTGCGCAGCACACAGCCCTGCCTTCATGGGGAGGTGCGGCACCGAGGGAGTCGCTTGGCTGCCATCCCCCTGTGGGCGCGGTCTTCGGTGGGGGTGTCGAATTGTGGAGAGCCTACAAGGACCTTTGATGAATTGGAGCAATTGCAACCCCCGCTGTCACTGACTGTCCTGAACATGTCCAGACCTGTATACATCTTCACATCCGGGTCGGGGGGAACGGTCGGCAGATGTGGGCCTTGCCACCGCCCACCGCAAAGCCCACAAAGTCTGTCCTTGCAGGGAACGCCTATTCCTCACGCAAAATAAATATTAGACTTAGACTGCGGCTCGAGTCAGAGTCATGCGGGACTTGGATTCTGCCTTCTCAGATAGGATTTGGTGCTCGATTTCGGAATCTCGTCAGCTCCATGTTTGAGCAGCGGCCAGCAGATCTCTCATGCTAACATGAGTGACCAGCTTACTGCAAACAACAACAACAACACCAGCAGCAGCAGCAGCAACAACAACAAGCGCTCTCTTTCCTCCAGAAACCTTCCGCAGCGCTTGGACTCCTCCTCGTCCTCTCTCTCTCCTTCTCTCCAGGGCATGAGGCTCGCGATCTCCCGGCTCAGGCCCAGGCTTGAGGTTCATAGGATTGAAACAGGCCAAGCCGGTCTCAGAGCCTCAAACACACCATGGATGCTGTTGGTGATTATGAGTTGCTGAAGTATATTTAATATACTATATCATGGTATATTATAGTATACTTCTTGGTTAACAAGTTTGGTGATGGTGATCTGGTTGCTAGTGCGGCGTGTTGATGTTGGCGATGCCATCGGTTGCTGATTGCGATGTGTCGCTGCGGCCGGTGTTGTCTGCGTACCTTTTCTGTGTCATGTCATGTAAACTATACTATGTTACTGATCTCACCACAACTACTACCACGACGAGCAGGAGGACGAAACAAAAAAGAGCCAACATGCAAACGGGACGCTTGCCGTAATCCTTGCGCTTAGAACCTTACGTTTCCGGTAAACTTCAGAAGAGAGAGCCCGACATTTTGCAACCTGCCTAATTGGCTGACGGTCTGTGCTGCCCTGGCCGGAACATAAACTCAGAGACTACTTAGGCTCCGAAGATACACCCAGATCCCAAGGGAAAGAGCCAAAGTAGTGAATGGGCTTATGTAGGGTGCAGAGTTATGAACTCTTTGGTTTGAAAAGCTTGGGCTCGAAGCTACTCGTTATGTGCAACGAGACGCAGCAAGTTGTCGCAGCCACGCGGTGGTTAAATCTGCCTGCGGCAGCAGGTCCGGATACAAGATCGTCAAAAGCACAGAAAAGCACAGTAATTGAGAGTTGCCGCGGGGGTTGCTACAGCCAGCAACGGTCTCACTTCTAGGTGGTCGCCGTGCGACCAAGTCATCGAAATGTATGCTTGGACAGTTCACACGTTCCTCCAGCAGCACTCCAGCATGGATAAAACGTTGAGGGTGTCGTTGAGAAGATTGCTTGGCAACGCAGCCAGGAAAGCGGTTTCCCACCAACCCCGCGACCATACTTGTACTTCTGCAACCTCAGACCGCTAAAACCTCGCCCAGCCTGAAGATAAAGACCGGCTGCCGAGCTATCGAATGGACCCGGCCTTCCGTTAGTATCGAGCACTTCTTGTAGCACCTGGGCGAGTGTGCACGAATCGCATGTGTGCGACAGCACGTGTACAGTAGCACGGAGTAACCTCGGCAGCAGTCGTGTCTATGCAAGCGGACGCAACGTGAGACTGCTTGTGCTGCGTGCCAGCAAGTTTCCTTCCTGTCAGCTTGAACTACCTGTGTAACCCAACGCCAATTTAGCGCATAGGTCATTCGACGGAGACCATGTAAGCCCTGCATTCCTAGCCATAGCAAGCCGCCGCAAGCTTTGGTGCCCGGCATGCCGAGGAGCAGTTCCTCATCCTCTTCGAGGCGCGGACTTCACTGAGACTTGCGTGAATATGTATGTGTGAGTTGTGTATGTATCTTCGTATCCATGTATCTATGTATGTATACTTGTGTGTGTATCTACGTATGTATATATTTATATACATGTGCATACATATAGAATCCCGTCAGGCAACCCAGGGTGCAGTTAGGGTAAACAGGGTTGAGGTTGAGGGCCACCTTGAAACAACATTGCTTCGAAACTCCTGAAGAGGCCTCCAGGCAGGTACCCTCGCCATGTGGGCAGGCCGAATGTTGACCGTGCACGTTGCCCGAGACATCAAAGCCATCGCAGGGCCTGGCGTCTTTCTATGGATGAGAGGAGGAAATCATGCGGATGCTACAAGCCCTGACCTGCCGGAAAAGACATGCAATTCTTCGTTGATCACTTGCTAGGGCTCCAATCCTAGAGCCTTTGGGTTGCAGGTTTGCTTGGGATACCATCTCTTGGCAAACCTGCCGGGCAAGCGACATGTTGATCTCGGTGTTGTCAAAGCTGCAAGGCTCCGACTTACAGCCTTGGTCTTCTAGTGCACTCTGGGTGTATTCCGAAAGGATTGAAGTTTGGGGCAGAATGAATGGCACGACTCGCTTGACCCCCGTTTCTTGATTGACGACTTGAATTCTCCGGCGACGCCACGCGTCTTTAGAACGAATCCGCGGCACAATATTCTGAGTTCAAGGATAGTTCGCGAGCTCCCTCTCAAACTCCTCCATCGAAATGTCTTGAAATGCATGTTTCATGGCTTGCAGCATGCACGCACGGTTTCGAAGACCAGAGGTAATTCTGACTTGTTCAGTCGTACCTCCGCTTCTAGGGCTCTCAACTCACGACACCTTCAAAAGCCAGACTCTGCTTGAAGCCCAAACCTGCGACTGCTGAGGTGTGGACAAGTGAATGCACTAGTTCGGATCGGGTGTGTGCCCTTGGTGGCCAGGGAACACCTCAGCAAGGTTTTCTGCTGCATAGCTCAAGGGCAGTCTAGGATCTGTTTTGTGTTGCGTACCGTGTATCCTGCTTTGCAACAACAAACGCACTCGACTTCATCTTTGCTTCTCACAGCATTGGTCTCAGGGGCAAGGGTAGATGACATTAGTAATACAGGGGGCTATAAAAATCAGAATAGGGTTTTGGGGCCCACTATACTAGATACGCAAGCATAATAAGGAACCCCAAAAATAGTATAGGTAACTATTACGGCTCACTATGGTAAATCTGGAATGAGCCGTTCGCATGCCTGCAGTCCACACGACTAAGGCCAAGGATCCCCAAATCCAAAACCTGTGCCTCCCATTGCTGAGGCCGGAGCTTGAGATAACAGAGGTCCTCAAAATACCTCGAAGAGTCTTTCATTCAGAAAAGGCTTTCGTTCAAACCGGCCCGCAGACTGTCAGCATGCACCTGCGACAACGACCGCTGAACGTGCTGTTTCCAGAAGGAGCTCAGCGTACTCTCCGAGGAGGCTGGCCGCACACGTGAGACAACCGGGGGTGTGGCTCCTCGTCATCGGCGCAGATATTTCCATCGTGCATGTTCCTCAGAAGCCATGCAAAGCCTCCAAGAGGACGAATGCGCGACGCCTCTCCTATCCGTTCTCTGTTGCCGTACTGCACACCATGTCCTGGCAATGAAGCCTCTCTAGCAGCGCAAACGTGTCCCATGCTGCTTCCTGTGCGGCAGCAAGCAGATGCGACTGCAATATCAAGTAAAGCAAGAGGAAGAAGACGACACTACAAGACACAACACACGACATACGGTACGAGGGAAGCAGATGAGGAATGAAGCTTGCTGCCTCCCCAAATCGAACTCGGCTGCCGACTCTTGTGGGGCCTGCGGCACCTGATCGCCAGTCCCTTTCTGCAAGGTTCGGGCTAGAAGCTTAAGCTCAATGAGGCGCTGCTTCAACAGAGCGGTCCCGCCTCTGCTGACACGGCTGCTCCTCCTCGTGGCGGCTGGCCTGGCACAACAAAAAGAAGACACACACCAGGCACTGAAGCCCAAGCCCAGAGCGAAGTGCGACCTTCAGTGGCTAATGTCCCAGAGACCGCGACAGATCATCTGAATTCGAAACTTCCTCAACACGATCCCGAAAGCCCGCTTGGCTTCAAGATATCACCCACAACTCGACCAAGGCTTCCTGAAAGTACCTTTGATTCACACCGACACACGACAGTCAGCCGTCAGCAGAAACAGAGGACGAACTCATCGCTTTATGTTCAACAACCAGACGATGCACCGACGACTGTTCACAACAACAGCGCAATGATCAACTGGGAAGGCTCCCCCCTCCGCTCAAGGTGCAGCTGGGTCATAAGTAGACTCTGGGGCCCGTAGCTCTTGAGGCTTATGAATCCCCACAACTAAACAGGCGAGCGGGGGCCGTTGAAGAGCCAAGCGTCGAGGTGCTGGCAAGGGAAGTGTCTCGTGCGCATTTCGGGTCAGATGGCGGCTAAAGCCTCTTCCCTGCATGCACAGCACCTGCTTTAGGCCTCACCATAACATTCTGCTTTTGCAATGACACGTCGGTTGCAAGCAGCTCCGAATTCATTTTGCTGCATAATGTCACAAATGATGGTAACAAGTAACATCCGAATGGAGGAACGTTTCCGAACCCATGGGAGGGCCAGAAGGGAAGTCTTGGCCTTCCGAAACAAGGACCTGGCTCTCCCAACTCCAGTTGGATTTGTCATTTTCTCGCTCTGCCAGAAACCTTACTGTCACATACCGAACCAAACGAGAGAGGACTGCGGAAGCCTCGCGGTACGGAAGCAGTCAGCGTGGGACTATTTTCGTTCCGCGCAACGCGCAGGGTGGTGCTCCGCCTGTGGGACGCGGATCTGAGCACATGGCTTCCGCCTCACAACCTCGAGCTGACGCTGTCTGACGTTGAAAGAAAACCTCACAAAACATCTTGACTAAAGAGCACGCGTCAGGTGGGGCTGTGGTCGGCATGTGAGCCGTGGATTCGCAAAGAGATCTAGGATCCCATGAGGTTCTCGGCGACGACTACATCACCCCTCCGCCACGGAGGCTGCCAGGTTGTTGTGGCGCTGCTAGACACATGAACCAAGAGCTGCTGGCAAATTGCAGTATCCAACCGCAGCACCACATCATAAACATCTAGGAGATACTCATGACTACTCATACCAATCGTCGCAAGACGTCATTATCGGAATGCTGGTCACTCTGGTCATCTGTACTCGGCTGTTGACAATCCTAGCTTTCCGGGATCCTCGGAAACAAAATCTGCAAGTGCTGGCAGCAGGCAGGAAAAGAAAATTAAATTTGAAAGCCAGGCTGGACCTCGAGAACTCCAGTGCTACCTGTATGCCCGTACGTATGTAGGTGCATGATGAATTGTGCAGCGCCCCAGGACCATGTGTGGACTGCAGTCGTTTTTGCATCCAAAACTAGAACTCCGAGAGCCTATTGTAGGTTGGCATACAGTATTGTGTGACTATCTATGGGACTATAGAGGGATAGTGCTTTTTGCAATTATTTAGACCCTTGTTTGTACTTACGGATGAGCCCGCCTGCGACCATGGAGGGTGAGACGAGCACTACGACTGCTTGCGTCTGTGCTGGAAGACCCACTCGGGCTTGCGAATGGTTTGGCTCAACTGCAAGAACACTTTGTTTTGAACGTAAGCCTCAGCCTTCTATTGCGCACTTCTCCCGCAGAAGCTCGCCGCATCAGAACCCAATACTACTACAATTCTGCAGCAGGCCACTTATGCAGCAAGAAAACTACGGCTGGTCCTGGTACTCGCAGTCTCGCTACACGAAGCGCTACTAGTACCATCGCTCCTGCTGCTGCCGCTGCTTCAGTCTTTGTCGTCCTAGTGTCGTAGTCTCCTTCTAGCCCAACCATCCCGGTGAGATAGCAAGAACTCTACACAAGCTCCCCGTCCCCAAGTCCAGCTGAAGGCAACCTAGGACTTTCGCCTTATGCGGACAATTCTGTTGCTGGAGCACTAGGGTGGGAAGTCTCGGAGCTGATGGGAATGCAGCTGCAAACACCAATTCCCAAGTTTCGCCACCTTCGTCAAGTCCGGACCCTACATCCTAGAATCGTTGAAATTCCCGAACGCAATTAGAAGCGTTCATAAAAGAGGAGATATGCCTCTGGTGACACTACGTCAGACTCACTGGCCTGTGTCACACGAGCCTCAGTTGGCTAAGGTGGGATCATATCAGATCCCTGCACTCGAAGCTGCCGAATTGCGCGATCATGGAAATGCCATCTGACAATCTTGGAGTGTGCTGTCTTGTCCTTACAAGATGCCTGTTATGATCCTGTTGCAGTATGAGCACGATTCAAGTCTGTTCTGATGCCTGTCGAGATTGATCGCCGGACAAGGTGGTCGCAATCAGCTTTGCAGGGAGTCCCGGACCCCAAGCTTCAGGCAAGGGGCATCATTGAAGAGATACCACTTCTTGTCAGAACCCTCGCCCACTTTGCAGTAGGCAGTGTAATGGCCGTAGGAGAGGCTACCAGAGTGGTTCACAACGGCATAGAGTTTGTATTGCTCTCCTGGCAAGCAAGCTTTTGCAATCAGCAGAGCGCCTGAACAATGCAGACTCCGCATGAGGTCGAAGCATCTCTTCATGCAACAGGACTGCAACCATGAACAAATCTGGAGAGTATCTTATATCGGATCGTGCCAAGTCCTTCTTCGGTTGGAGGTCCCGCGAGCCATTGCGAAAGGTCCAGCTCGAAGGGGAAGCGAACAAAGCTTCCATCCTCCCGGTGCGCGGCTGAAGGACAATAGACTTCAATAGACGTGGATGAGTGAAGGAGTGCATACGGCACTGTCATTGACCGTAAGGCCCCTTTCCGGGTTGAGCTCTTGGGGTGCATGTGCGCGACAAGTTCAGGCAAACGCGCTTAAAGCAAGCCCCCAACCCGTTTGCGCTGCTTTTCTGCACTGAGCATGTAGGAATATGCATTAGAAGGATCTCGTGTGTCCCATGCGCAAGAATTCGGCAGGCTGTGGCCTTGTCAATGCTGGAAGAGTCGGCGACAAACCGCTTCAAGTGGATGATCCTGAAACTGCTCCGAACTTGTAAAACTGCTCGAAGAAGACATTGACCAAGGGCTATGCAACAGCGCGTGTCAAGTCGAAAAGTGCTTTGTTCCACCCTGTCCACTTCCAGCTTCAGCATCGCCGTCGCAATCACCGTGCACATCTCGTCACCATCTCTAACATGTAAATCCTTGTCAGCATGTGCTTCAGCCTCGTCATCTTGATCATGACCACTGCCCTGTTTCCATCACCATCCTATTTACCGTCGTCGTCTGCACTATGATTATCGCGACATCATTTACAAGTCCGCTGTCACCCGTCACCGTCCAGAACCATCTTCAACATCCAGAGCAGCAACGCCAGCGCCAGCAGTAGTGTCGCTGTCATCCGCGTGCTAACCTCACATCATCAACCTCTTGAGCAATATCATGACTGGCAGCGACAGCTCCCGTTCGCCTTGGTGTGGAGAATTTCCCACCAGACAAATCCCGACGTCCGAAATATTGCTTGGGCGGGCACTCGATCCCTTTGCCTCCGAGTTTCAAGCACTCCGGCGCCGTCCAAAGCTCAATTTTCTTCAGGGACCGTTCGCGCTGCTGCGTCTGGTCGCACCAAACCCAGTCGTCTTGGCAAAGCTCTTCCTCTCTCAAGCTGACTTGAGCTGATATGGCGGGGTGTGTGGGCTTATCACTGGGTGCTTACGTGTACGACTGATTCCGCGGTCCGATTGCCTGGTCGGGATGCCACCCCTCCGGAAAGCTTAAAGGGCCTAGACTTGCACGACTCAACTCCTGCTTTGAGAAGGAGTGCAAACAGTCTTCCAACGATCGCTCGGCCGGGGCAGTGTCTTCCTCAGCCGAGCGACGGTACGTTTCGGCATGTGAAGAAACAGGTGTATATATGCCTGTATTAAAATGTATGCATGCATATATATGTATATATATAGACATGTGTATGTATGTAGGTAGGTATGTGTATGTATGTATATATATATATATATATATACATATATATATACACACACATTACATGTTATTGGTTCGTGTGGGTACTTGTGTGTGTGTGTGTTTTATAAGTATGTATACTGAGACCTAGGTACCCACGTGTGCCTGTGTGTGTACATGTGTGCGCAGGTATGCAATTCATTATGTACGTATATATGTTTGTTTTGTACAGTCATGATTGTGAACAAGGTGTATACCACGTACAAAGAAGTACCTATGTATGTCTATACATGTGTGTGTATACATATATATATATATATATATATTTACATGTATAACATACACATGCACATTCACTGGAGTTCACGCCTTGATGGGTTTGCCGGCCCCAAGCTTGCAAAGCCGCGAGGACCATTGCTGCTGCAGTTCTGACTTCTACAGTGCTGCCCTCCCATAAACGTCCAGCGGCCGGCCCAGGGATGGGCAAGGTGAGGTAAACCATGGGCTCAAACTTCTCAGAGCGCATTCCCACATCGCAGAAAGTGGTGGTGGAGCGCACCTGCCCACGTGCCCCGGCTGCTATGTTCTTCTACATGCCATCCCTACGCTTGTCATACCTAGCCTTCGAGTTCGGAAAGCTCCAAGAGATCCCATACAAGCGGGTCATGATGGGTTGTTTTGGCAGCGCAACTTATGGCGCGCAGAAGCGAAATTCGAGCTTGCGTTGATTGAAATTGCAGGGTTGGAGCTATTAGTTACGGCTTTCTCGCCAGCTCGTGCAGCGATTCCAAAGACAGCTTTTTTGCTGCAGGCTTGCAGCTTGCATGCAAGGACGCCTGGTGGTTTGCCGCTCTTCCGCCAGTTAGGACTGTGCTTGTGCCTGGCTTCTGAGAGAAAGCCCTGAACCCGGTACTAAACCATGCAGCGACCTCGACCTTGTGCTCGAGAAGCCTTAAATATCCCCACATTGGAGCTCGTGTAGTATAAGTTGGGCAGACAGGAGGTAGAGGAAGTGCGCACGTGAGATCCAACCTGTAGTACGAACAGGTTGCCGGGTCCGGGTGTTGAACATCAGCATCGGGGCACGACGGTGCCGAGCCAGTTCCACTCGTGATCTGTCAATGTCGGTCGGTGTTTCAGACCACGGTCCCGGTTCGTCCCCTGCTAACGTAATCGTGTAAAGTTAATAGGGACTCGGATCTGAAACATGAAGCAAGCCCCATCAACGACAGGTTGAACCTGGAAGTGAAAGATGTCCTTGATCTTCGAGTCTGTCTGGCAGTTGCCCGCATCCTGTTCCGAGCAGACAGCGAGTCGACGGATTTCCGTGTTCAGGCAGGAATTGGGATCTGGTAACTATTTCGCAAGCTAGGTCCCTCAGAGTCCTAGACGCCTCGATGTGACGTCACAGTAGATAATCATGAACCAGCGACGTTCATCGACGCTCCACACACGCTAAGCTTACTCGGGCTGCCTTTGGCGAATGGTACGCCAAACCCAACAGTGCCCTACAGCAACAAATCCAAACCCAAAATCCCCAGACCCGTACACCCGACCTTCCAACCCAAAATCCTACCCCCCCCCACCCCCCCTCCAAGACCCTACACCTTCAAGAGCTCATTTAGAACCTTGGCTCAAAGTCTCAATGCCAGACCCGGGCCTGGGCGTCGGACGCATCGCACTGGGAGGAGGCAGATTCCGACCCGCGGGGGCAGGGCGACGGGCTGCGCTTCCTGGGATGGATCAATGCCATTTTTGGCGGCCTTTGTAAATAGAATAGGGCTTTGGGGATCATTGTACTATACTTGTAGTACGGAACCCCCCCCAAAATAGCACTGGTAACTACTTAGGCCGCTATAGTAACCCTATACCACAATGGTTTAGGGCTTACAGGGCTCAGGGCTGATGATGGTATACATAACCCTTAACCCAATCACCTATAGTCCATCCGTTCATCCATACATACAAACACGAGCACCAATACACACGATCAAACGTATACTCGGTTTATAGCCAGCAGTGTCAATAAATAGAACCATTCAGTGGTGAGGAGTCTTGCAGTTTCTTGGGCTTCGAGTGTTGCGAACCGCGGACAGGCTATTCGTGACTTCGGACAGGTGTTCACGAAGTGTCTTGGCGGACGGTTGTGCCAGCATGTCTCATGATACTGGCGAAGTAGCGGGCAATGATTTAAAGATTTGTACCTCAAGACATACCACCAGCCAAGGGTCACATCTTCGTGCAGACCGTCGAGGAGAAACATCAGGAGCTCCTGAGCATCATGCTGCCTGTATCCAGCGAACTGGCTCCATTTCTCGGAGATCAAATTGCGAACCTTGGTGTCTGCTCCAAGTCTGTGCACTCGTGAACTTCGCCTATAGGTGCATGCTACAAACATCCGTTCGCGAGCATTACAACACTGCACAAAGCCTCAGCTTCAGTTTGCTTCAGGCCATGTCGCTAGCGGAAGGACTTACACAGCCCGCAAAACTCCAACCCCAACACTTATCAAGCCTCAAAGTCCAGAGTCTCTTAGCCCGTGTGGACAGCTATACCCTAACTCCTTTAAGTGGCCTGACATGCTGCAGATTGGATAACCCAAACCCATTTTCCAAACCCTGGCCTCATGCGGCTTGACGATCCGAAACTCGTTGCCCCAAATGGAGCGCAGCAGATTGGCGAATCCATCTGCCAAACGTCCTTCTGGGTACAGAGCCAGGTTTTTCAAATTTTGGTAGCTGTACAGTACAGTAGCAGCTCAAAAGCCCGATCTCGTTGTCGTATCAATCTGTCTGCGTTGTCGTTATTGAGGATGCTCGGGCTTGGCATTGAGGATCTGTGACAGTGATGGCGTCATGGCGGCTGAGCCGAAAGCGCCATAGGCTGCATGGATTAGTAGTTCGGTAGGTGAAAATAAACATGCACACACACACACAAAAGCGCCTAACCTATGCATGCATATATCCACTAGGTGAGCATATCAATTGCCCTCAAAACTGTTGAGGGAGTTTTCGTGTTAAGAACCTATATTCTGTAAAATACAATAGGGGAATTTGACATGTGACATATCCAAAGTCGGTACACCATGTACACCTGTACCTGTCATAATGTGTGTGTGTGTGTGCGCGCGCGTCAGCGTTCGCGTTCGCCTGCATGTAAGCATTTACATACACAAGCCTGTGTGCATGTCATATTCTTCTGGCAGCATCACAGTTGGGCTGGAGGGTCCACCCGTTCACGGGTTGCTTTCGATCCCGGGATTGATTGTCGGGTCTCGAACTCGTTTGCTGCGCACGGGTCCGCGAGCCAAGCAAAACCCCGCGGTCTGAGCACCATCAAACCACGACCCCTGAAAGGTTCAAAGGCTGTACCGACTTTTGGGCCTATCCTAAACTCTGGGACTCACGGAAGCTGTCGAGATGCAGGCCTCCCATGCTGTCAGGCGTGCAGCTGATGTCCGCCTTGTAGTGGCCCGCCTCGTAGTACCGGCGCAATGCCACGGTGTTGGACAGTGCTTGCAAGGTGGAGTTCAGGTAGCACCTGCACGCAGGAGGCTTCTTCCCATGATGAGACCATCCAATGCTCAAGCTTCGAGTCTAATGTCGGAACCTAGGCAAGGCTGTGGGACTCGAAGCTACACGCAAACCTTACTCTAAGCTCCCAAAGAAGGCTTGCACGTGTTAGCCTCGAGATCCATGGTACAGCCGTCTTTGGTAGAGAGCTAGGGTGCTTTTCGGCGGCAAAGCCATGCAAGCAAGATCAGCAACAATAAGAATTCGTACCCGCAAGCCGCCCTTCGATACAACCAGGCACGCAGCTGCATGGTAAAAGGATCCTGAAACACCGACCGACCACGGAGTTCTTCGATGCGGCCCGGAGACGTGTTCCCGAGGTTCAGGAGGCCGCACGCACCGGGGCTATCGCAGGTGCCCCGGAGATTGCACACTGTGCCCTGAGACTCCATGGTGGAGCCTGCCTCCCCCTGCACTGTGAGGCGCACCACGAGGTGGAGTGTATTCCTCACCAACACCGAGGCTTGTACATGCTTGTAACATACTGGAACTCACCGAAAGGCTAAGCAGCTGCGTCAAAAGAAAGCCGCTGCAGTGACAGCAGCAGTCATTAGCAGAGCCTCGTGACGCCCTGCACTGAGCCCCAGCTTCGCCCTGGCCGAAGCCTGCCCTTTTTTTAACCGTTAGTCGCCAACCTAGACAGCCACAGCCTTCCGTTTTGCTTGGACTAAACACTGAAGTCATCTACGAGTAGCTTCTTTCGAACATCCCCAAACCCTACCAGGAAACTCTCATCCCTGCAGCTGCAGCACCCATCTTCGATGCGGCTCTCCGAAACAGTGGCTGTGTCCTTGCTTCGAGGTTCTGGGTGGGGCGTTCCAATCCCCGCTGCCTGCTACGCTTTTTCACGAGTAGCTTTCTGTCTATGGGGGCATATTTGGATTACAAGTCTGGGGTTCGAATCGACGAACCCTGTCGTCCTGCAGCAGCTCTTTAATTATGGTATCCCCAAGGGAGGGGGGTCCAAGGGGGGTACATAGACTAGTGATCCCTAATTCTCCCTCGTACTTTCTAAGGTTCCCTTAGAGACCCCTAAGAAACCCTTGTACCCTCCCCACTTGAACCACTCTCCCTTGGGGATCCTACAATTTAAAGAACCTTAAAGAGCCTGAGGTCCATGAGTTCTGGTGTTGGCGGATCAGCACACGCTTACACAAGCACACATCCAGTAGGTTGCCGACTTGCATGCCAAGAGGCGCACAGCAGCTTGCCTGCAAAAACCAGCCGCTGCTTTTCCTGGGCTGGGCCCACCTACCCCGAAAACCCCAAACCCGACAAGTGCACTTGGATCTTTACATGTTGACATCGACTCGGAAAGGATACCTGTCCCGTACATTGACTTGTTGGTTAGAGAAAGCCTTCAAGCCTTCTGGTCACTGGTCGCAATGCGATCTGCGGTTTGGCAAGGAACCGGAACAGGGGATACACTTCTCTAAAGCTTACACTTGACTTGATATCTCAGGCCTTAACTTCCTTAACGGTGGCGCTCTGGCAGACTTAGCTCTGGTTTCAAGACCCGTCCAGCCCAAGCTCATGCCAATCCACTCAGCATCCCGTGACAAAACATCGTGCCGCCGTCAGTATCACCGCGATCATCATCATCATCATCATCATCATCATCATCACCAGGTCATCATCATCATCATCATCATCACCAGCATACTCAGCAGCACCAGACGCAGTGCATCAGTACCCGCGTGCTCGTTTCTGTTGCCGCTCAGCAGTAACTTTCACCGAGACGTCTGCACAAAAGCTGTGAAGTTGCAGTTCAAGCATCTGCTGGAATGGTGGCACACTTCTCGATCTGGGCCTTTACCTGGATGTAGTTTCTTCTCGTTCGATTTTGGAGCGGGACATCTTACCAGAAATGATGGTTTGGGGATAGCGGGACTGTGCAGGATCACGGACGCGACAAGTCCTGCCAAAACCGCGATCGTTTCGAAGCCAGCTGGCAGGAAGTTTTTCAGTACTTCCAAGACTTCATCCTTGAAAATATGGTTAAGATCACAAGTCGGAAACGTTCGCGGGCTTGAAGACCTCACATCATCCCTCACCGCATGGCCTCTTGAATCGTGTCCGTCGCAGCAACGGACAGATCAAAGCTCTGACCACTGAGGACCTTGACCTTGGCAGCCGTTTGATTGCTGCGGAGATGTTCAGGGAGGCATCCAGGCACCAAACAAAGCCTAGGCCTAGTACTAGTAATATCCCAAGAACGATGATGTTCGGATGTTCGAAGCTTCGGAGGCTGCGGATTGCCCCTTTCTTCTCACACCATGTGCGGCAGGGCCACCGTGACGGTGAAGGTCGGGCCCTGCTTTCGATTCCGCACAACGCAGAAGATGTTGCCCTGGCCCGCGCTCATCCAGAAGGGCATTCCAGTGTGTGTGTGTGTGTGTGTGTGTGTGTGTTTATATATATATATATATGCACACACACATATATATATATATATGCATACACAGGAATTGTTAACACCAACATCATGACATGCATTATAAGCGAACACACGCACACACAAACTATCATTTGTCTCACATAACCCGCACACACAAACACACACTTGCATGCGTGTATGCATGCACACACGCACACCATTATGGGTTCTCTACATAGTCGTGTTTGCCATTGCAGGCTGAACTGCCCAGGCAGAGATTCAGGCCCTACGTGCTTCACGCACTTCTGGGTGCTCTTGCATTTTTTGTCACTCGTGCTCGAGCATTCCCGCTGGCCGCTTATACCTACGAAGGTGCGGCTTTCATCTTCGTAAGAACGAATTTTGGGGACAATGGAAAAAGATGGAAAGCTAGTAACCCCCGCCGTGGATACATGACGAGTGTTTGCTTGCCAAAGTACATGTGCGAGCACATGGCAACGCCACACAGCAGACTTCTTGAAGGCCTCGTTGGGAACCGATGCTGCGCTCTTCGTAATGCGTCACTGGTTGACACACTCAATCCAACACCGTGGACCTGGATATTGCAGTCGCCCAAGGCTTTGTACTCATCCTTCAGCTGCTGCCCGGCATACCTTCGGTCCGCTTGCGACCTACGATCCTGCACAACTCGCCACGAAACATGCCATGCACGCTCCGTGCCGTCAATGCTACAGCTGATCCAGTGGTTCGACACTCAACCGGGCCGGGCGGCACCAACACTTGCTGGTCTGCAGGGACGCCATGCGCGTCCTCCACTAGCCGGAGTGCAGCGATGCCGCGAGACATACTTAGGCAAACATGGCCGTTGATCACCTGTGTATGCCGGCTTCTGCAATCTCTTGGATCTCGCCCTAAGATTGGAACGTTGGATCACGTGCTTGCTTCGAGTAGGCAGCACCCCATCGCCAGCCTAATTCAGACGAAGCAGATCACCAAGCACTGTCCCTGAAAACCGAATTCTACAATGCCTTCGGCGGCAGAAATGAGCTCCTGTATCTTCTCTTTCAGCTGCCCAACGGTGTCGATGCAGTTTACGCACATGTCGTGCCTCATCAAGTCGGGCTTCTAAGGCACATCGCAGATATGATGCAGTATTGCTGCAAGATGACCAGATGCTGCAACATGGGCATGCAGGATGTGGTAATGTGGACAGACGGCAGCACATAGAAGAAGCAGAACCGACAGATCGCATTGGTGGTGCACAGGACGAATTATGGAGTGCAGCACTGCAAAGAAGGGCTGCCAACTACGTGACAGAGCAGTACTTCACTCGATTAAATTTGGAACTTTATGCAGACAGATGCACTGGACTTACGAAGTCGTCGAAGCATGGACATTGAAGGCTTCCCCATCTAACGACCAGGATACTTCCATATCAAATGAACCAAATGGACAAATCCAAGTTCCAATCCTTGCGCGAGCTCGACAATTTCCCGATTGCTTGACATTCCACAGAACCGCCACAGCTCATCTCAGAAATGCAGGTCGTCAATCTTTCCGAACTCGCAGCTGTAGTAGAGGCTGGGGTGCAGTGTGCTATCAGCCTATCAGCAACAAGCTTTGATGGACGCACATGTCCCATTGATCCCTGAAGCCCTGCGACGGCCAACTCAAGCAAACTGGCAAATGTTTGCCATGTGCAGATTGTGCAGCTAAGCGGCTTGCCGCCACTCAGAAACCTTGGTTCACGATAGTGCGGGCGAAGCGGCACAAAGACGAGGGAAAACGATAAAGATTGTCGAAGCTGACTTGGCATACGTGTGCTTTCGAGCACAGGTGGGGAAGGCGCTGGAAACTAGAGGCACCATACACGATGATGGACATGCAGTTCATGCTCACGACCTGCACCATGAAGGTTGTAAACGCTTTGCGGACAATGGCCATCTTCGCAGAACCAGTGGTGCTTCGACAAACAACACCTTCAGCCAGCTTTGCCAACCCCGGCTTTAGTCCTTTTGCCTCTTTCCCGGCCTTGATGGTTAAACCTTACCCACCTGAAAAGACGTCCTGTCTAATTTCGAAAGGCGAGAACCCAACGAAGCGTCATGGCCAGAGCCATTCTCTTACGACTTTCGTAAAATCACGAACAGAGGTCGCTGGTTGCGACAACCCAACCCACCAGCACCCTATATGATCTGTGCGCGACCATACCGACTTTCTTCAGACTCCTGTTGGGCCCAAGAAAGTACTAAGAAGCCTCAGTACTGTAGAGGGCTCTGCCACAAAGCAAAGACAGAATATCCCGAAAAGCCCCGCTGGAGCGAACGAGGTGCTGCACGCAAAGAGTCATCTGACGCGGAACCTGGCCCAGAGATCCGGATCACCAAGACACGCCAGCCCCCCAAGCACGAAGTGACTGCACCCAAGCCGGAAATCCCAGGCTTCCTCACTTCGGGCGCCTTTACCAGGGTGATCATTTGCTCGGGTTCCTTGGCTCAGAAAGCTTAGACTCGCGAGAAAAACACAAGCCCGCAAACAAGTCTTGAGTCCCAGAGGTGGCATTCGATATCTTACGCTGCAGCTGCAGGTTCTACAGTATGGACAGTGTCGACCCACACGAAGACTAGTGCTTGCGCCCAGTGTCTGAGAGAAACTCAAAGGGTTTCTGTCCATTTTGGAGGCGCTGGCTGTGGAAGCAAAGCCTCAGAAAACTTCCAGCAAAACGAACGCCGCCAAAATCACTGCTGCACAGTGCCCAAAAAACACTGCGACTGCTGCCACTGCCTCTGCTGGCAATCCTCCTTCTTACTCTGCCGACTGTACTACAACGACCTACAAGATTTCTGTACTTTAGTTTACCTCTTGCAAAGGCATCACTGGACTCAACGGTGCCGGGGCAATCCTGCATATGCCCTTCAGACGGGCAGCTGCTGCTCTTCCTCCGGGATGTCAAAGGATTCAAAGATGCGCCTCGCCCACATCTGGGAGGCGACTGGTTGCGTTGCCGGATGGTGCGCAAGTGCGAGAAAGAGAGTGAGAGAGAGTAACGGCGCGAGGTTTGCGAGAAACCCCACGATTTCAAACTGCCGCATTCGTGGTCACTGATGCAAGTGGAAACCGCGAGTGAGTGCCCGATGCATGAAAGCCCTGCATCGAACAAGCACGCCAGCTGCCATTTCGAGTCTTCATGCATGAGCCCTCCCCCGGCTTGGATAACCCGTCAGAAGCCCGGCGTGCCCGGCCTCTTCAAGTGCTCCGTTGTGTCGGCGGAGGTTGCCTGTCAGAAAACTATCCGGAAGTCGGGAGCGTTTTGGATGTCGGAAACGCAGAACATGCAACAAGCCCCATCAGCACCCTGAGCGCAGAGCTAGTTACACAAGTTACGACGACTGCATGGTCGAGACCTGCTGTCGGTGTGGGCCCACCAACCGTGCATGCCAACTATCATGCAGAAGCCTTGCTGTCCTGCTCTCAACATCCGCGTATGGGCTAGGATGAGTTCGTAACGGCTTTTATAACGATCGAGTCTGCACAAATGCAAGGGTGAAAAGCCTGGGACAATGCAAAACTATGCTCGCTCGCCAATGTCCTAACAGCCAGCATCCATACTAACGAAGGCCTCGCCAGGGAAAGGCCGTATTCCTTTCCAACCGTGGTACTCAAGCTACGTAGAATCTTCGGATGCTGCCGCAACCATAGAAACCTAAACTTGGAGCTTAGTTTGCTGGACCGCCAGTCCAATCTCGGGCCTCAAGCTTCCAGGTCTCTCCACTGATCCGCTGCAGGATCACTGACACCTTGGTTGCAGAAGCTTACGGGTCAGCAGGTTGGTTGAAGTTTCAGACGGCGGTGAGGACCGGGGCACCAGAGAAGCGCCAAAAACGTGCACAACCAGAACTTTCTCGACGCTGAGGGTTTCAGGCCCTAGTTGCTGAGTTTCTTCAGATAACTACGCGATTAGTATTGCAGAAGCTAGTTGGGCAGTCCAACTTGCAAATGATTGTCACTTCAGTATGGCTGCACGATGAAGTCCTTTAACAACTGGCCCGAACCAAACAAGAGCGACTGGTGCCATGGAGGCTATACTGCATGGCAGGAGGCGGGTCGTGGCTCGGGTGCCATGAGTTCCAGAGTGTCCTGCATGGGATAAAGGCTTGAAGTAGGTCGCTATGTGCAAAGTTCGTGGTTTCTGTGATTGGCAACGCTACGACTCCAAAGATTTTTTGGCAGTAGAACACTGTTGCATTGGCTTGCCTTGTCTTGTCATCTGCACGATGGCTCAAAGGAAAACCCTGTTCCTGTTGCCTTCCTCTTCGGACTGAACTTCTGAAGAGTCTGATAGCTAACGTTTGCCTGATGACTCTGGCGTCAAAACCCTTCTGTCAATGCATCAGTCATCGCGCTAGTCGTTGCTGTGGCTACTGGTAGTTACTACTTGGTGGCTCCGATGAATCAGCATTGCACGGCGAATAGGAAAGATTTGGTAAGTCCCAATGCTATCGCCATTGCCAGTGCTGATTCTGATGCTTTCGGATTTCGGAACGAAACACTTCTGACATGAATGTCCCATGTGGTGCCAAGCTTACTCTTCCCCTTCCACAAAGGCGAGTTCGCACGACTGTCCGAGCAGAAGCTACTGCTGCTGCTGCTGCCGCTGCTTTACTTGTGGCTTCAGCGAAAACAACACTGTCGATCAGCAGTCGTCCAAAATACGAGTGACTGAATACGCCGTGGTCGACGTAGACTGAAGGTTCATAATTTTTCGGGCTCGGGGTCTAGGTAGCACCAGTGCTGCTACCAACCAACTGTCACTGTACGTGTCCTGAGCTTTGATACCGTACCTCAGCTCAACTAACTGCATGGACTTGTTGAGCGCATGCCCGAAGACGAAGCACAAGGCAGCAAGCAGGATTCACTCGATCATTGCTGATGTAGCCAACCAGCGTCCAAAGCTACAATACGAGGGTGGCAGGAGATAATACAGAAAATGCCAAGGAACGTCGTCAGGACGTTGCTGTCCGAGAGCACTGTTCCGGCAAAGGACAGGATGTGCTGCTCCGGTGGGATTCCCTCCTGCTGTCTACTGGGATGCTGAAACCATACTTTACAGGGACGGCTCCCAGAGAGCTGCTCATGATAAGCCTTTCTAGGTCTCGCATATGCTGGGAGGCCAACCTGAAAGAATGCCCCGACCCTGTCTGCTCCCCAACACTCCAAAACCGACCCTGTTGCAACTGGCTTGCAACGTCACTGAATCGACCCTAAACCTTGAACCCGAAGTTTGAAAGATTGCTGAACCATGAAACGTAAGAAATCCTTGCTGCAGATCTGCCCCTTCACGGTGGCGACCTCGACGGAGAGAGCTCGGCTTCGCTGGTGTCGGGGACATGTCTACGAGCAGAGCCCGCCTTTGAATTAATAAATCGGCTTCTCGTTCAGTTGTTGCTATGGGAGCAGGCCAAGCAAGAATTACCGTGACGAGGGAGAGGTCTGGACAACCAAGCGTGCGTTGCTGATTGCTTGCTGTAGGAGCACGCAGGCATGATTTCGAAGATAGTTTTGATGACCTTGGGGGTTCATGTTCTACGGCCTCCAACAGACCTCAATTCTTGACAGCGGAGTCCGATCTTGGATTCTTCACCTGGCCTCGAACGAAGCACTGCTTGACCTGTTTGGCCGAGCAGCTGTGTCGGTTGCCTCCACTTCGAGCGGCGGGCGCTTGCCCGTACAGGTCTTTACAAAGATCTGCATGGCTCGCAAAGGCTATTCGAATTCTTCGGGGACACCTTCAACTTAACTCCCCTTTAACCACTTGGCTGCAACATTGATGCAGACAGAATCAAGGGCCAGTTCATATGGAATATTTTCTCCAAGAATCTGGAAGAAAGAGGTGATAAGATCAATAACGACAAAGAAGAGGTCTGCTGGCATAGCCATCGCTAGCATTTCTGCTTCTGCAAGGAGAGTTGGGCAGCGTGTCTTTGCTCTTCTGATTTCATGGGCTCGGACATCGTAAGGTCGATATAGTTTGCGCTTGCATGCCTTTGAAAACGTTTCGAATCTTGCTGATGGGTTCGACAACTATATCCTTATCTCTCCTGAGGGCCGAAACCGCGGTGGGGAGACCTTGAGTCCAAGTCCAGCTGCACCGAGCGCTAGCTTCCAAATACCTCTCCATGGCCACAGCCGTGTCAACCTCATGTCGCAAGCAAAACTAGACGGAGGCCTACAGAGTAGGATGACAGGTCTGCCGACTGCTTTGTGGGCTTCATGGGTTTTCGTGTGCCAGAAGCCTCGTACTTCTTCTGAAGCCCCTGCACGTTGACAGCCTGCAATGGACTCTTCGTGATTGGGCTTGGGCTCTCTCATCAACGGATGGTATACGGGCGGGTAGCTGCTAAAGTCTACATGTGCAGACGCTCCATCAGATCCCAACGATTGATGCAGTTTATGGTTGTGAGACTGCTAGCAGGCAGAAGCCGTGTGATGGACGTGATTGAACAACCATGAACCAAGTCATTGTAATTGATCTAGATGCGGAGGACTTATGGCATGCACGACGAGGGGAAAGGAGCGGTGAGATGAAACCTGACATGGTTCCACGGCATCTAATTCGATGATGTGGATCGGCATTGTGCTAATTTTACTGCGAAAAAGAGACGATCCGTCTTGCCATATCGAAACATCTGATAAGCCTAAGCACTGCCTGATGAGAGGCGCCATATCACTGGCACCCGCCCACACAGAGGGAGGTGGAGAGATGCCCTTGCGGTTGAAACGGTGAGCCCAGGCGTTGCGTCCAATCCTGTCCAGGATTTTGGGGCCTCAAGCCGTGGCGATCCGGACCGGCAGATCAGCGCAGCCACTGCCTGAGACGGCCACCAACTCAAGGAATCAGGGCTGGCTGCTGTTGCCACATTCGCTTGCTCGGCTTGTCCGTCGGGCATGCAAGCAAGCCCTTATCGGCAGTCATGTATAGCCAGCGTTGAGTTCTCTAAGCCGTAAACCAAGCAATCGCTGCTTGAAAGCCCACGACCTTAAAAAGCTTTCCCTGCTTTGGGCGAGAGTGTGGTCACATGATGATGAAGGATGCATACTTCGAACCGATGCCGCAGCAAACTAAACCCCATCCTTACAGGCAGCTGGGGCCCGGTCACAGGTACAAAGTGTGACAGCTATGGCCCACCGGGCCATCCGTCGTCGAGGCTCAGGACCTCTGCGGAGGGCTTTGGCTCACTCACGCACTGTCCCACCCACCATAAACAGAAAGCCTTCCTATCCCTATCAATGACCCCTCTGAAATCCAAAGCTTCGTAGCAATGTCGCTCAATAGTTAACTTCGAAGATACTTGGGATCCTGGAAAACGAGGATGCCAACCCCAAGCCTTTTTGGCATCTGGTCTCCATGGATGACAGCCAGACAACCCAGCCAATTTCACACATGACGCGCAAGGGATCTTTGATGCTTACTTGTGATCCACCTTGTGATCGCTATATACCGTGCTAGATGTGCATGTAAAGTGGTTTCATATGCACACGCGTCGAGGCGACGTACTGGGCCTTCTCTGGGCTCGAGTTCCAGCTCCTCCTGCGATGGGATTTCGAGATGTGAGTTTTGAACTTGAGTGTCTCGCCATGGGCATGCACACCAAGGAACTTTTTTTCGAGTACCCGGGATGAGGGCTTCGGGGGCTCAAGCTTCAGGAGTCTCGTGCAGTGGGTCACATTAGCTGGAACAGGAGTCAGGCAAGGTGCGTCTGCTCGTTTTGCTACGACGACTGCCGCTGCTGGCTTGGTTACTGTTATAGTTTCACTAAAGCTACTACTCCTGCTACTAGTGCTAGTACCAGTACCGGTACTAGAACTAGAACTAGCGCTACTTCTGCTTATACTACTACTTCTACTGCTGCTATTACTACTATTTTTCTGCTGCGACCACTACCACTACCACCACCACCACCACCGCCGCCACCACCACCACCACCACCGCCGCCACTACGTCGACGACGACTACCACTACAGTATTTCTTGCCTGACCTGTACTGACCGGCGAACTCCTCAACATGCACAAACTTCGCATGTCTGGCTGCTTCACGCCCGAATGTGCTGCAAATCCTGAATATTCTAAATCGACCCACTTTTGTGGTGGGGCTACGGTGCACATGTCCGAAGTGCTCCTGAACGCTTTCATCTAACCCTAAGAAAGTCACTGGACAATGGCAACGGCAAGCTACTGAGCTACTGTAAGAGCCCAAGCCTGTCGCGTGGTCTTGTATGTATGGGCATACAGACGTACGTACATACATACATACATGCATACATAGATACATGCATGCAATCTTGTCTCACTATGTGCAAGTATCGGTTTATGTATCACTGTTCAACTTATCCCACAAGTACATGTATACACATATATGTATATGTATATATATATATATAGGTATGCGTGTATACATACACGTATTTCTGTTGATTTAATATGCATTCAAATTCTACGTCGACTCGCACACTCGCACAATATTCTTGCTATGTTGAGACCCCAAGTCCCCACGTCACACCTTTTGAACCGCAACGCTCTCGTCGCGGCAAAGGCGTCATCCTCACTTCAGGAGCCAGGTGCCCCCTCGAGCCGAACGCATGTTACCTGTTGGGTATCTGCGGCTTGGGGCCCAGTATGGGAATGAAGAGATTCAGAAACTTCCGGATGTGTGTTGCAAGGCAGAGTCTACATTGGCACGAACTCCTGATACAAAGCTACATGGCAGATCGCCATTTTTTGCCAACCACTGGAATCCCGCAAGCCGTGCGTCTCAAATCTCGTCAGCCTTCCACGCCGAAAGCGGCTGCGAAGTTTGACACTCAGAGATGCAGCTGCTGAAATTGTATGATCGAGCTTCAATATTGAACTTTGGCTATGTTCATCAAGCCTCCGCAACCGACATGTCGCCAGAAATCAGACCAGCTGTTTGAGAAAAATAACCATTATATATATATATATATGTGTGTGTGTGTGTTCTGATTGTCCTGAAGACTCACGGCTCCCACTGCTGACAAAAGCCCATGCCCTGAAGTTTCGACCTGACCAAGAGCTTGGCTGCCCAGGCGCAGCTGCCTGGCCGTCAAGCTGGCGAAGGGCTCCAGTGTCGAGATCCTCAAATCCGCGGCTGAAGGCGCTGGGGAATAGATATCATCATTCTTGCAAGGCTGGTTGCAAGAGCGGGTGTGTCCTGAGGGAATATCCTGGAATCACCAACGGACTGCAGCTGTCGCCGGCTCGAGCTTTGCGGATGATTGTCGTTCTGCACATCCAAGCAACGACCAAATAGCATCATGCCACTGCAGATGGGTGGCCACGACTGCGAGCGACCCGCCAGTGAGGGTCCATGCCACGGCCCGACGGCCTCGCAACTTGTCTGGCGAATGATGGCTCAAGAGAATCGCGGGTGAGCATGAAGCCTTGGCAGCTATTGCTTGGGATTGCTTGAGTTGGGTCGGCGGAAGCACGTGCTATCGAACGTCCAAACAAACGAAGCCCCACTGCTCGACAACTCGACAGAGCAAATTCCAGGACTGTCATCCGACACGACGCGAAAGGGTTGGCAGCATTTCGACTCTCAAATCCAGGCAGATTGCTGCAGGACAGTGCCTTCGAAGAGGCTTCATTCAGTCGTGCCGCCTTTGTTTCTTGAACATCGAGACCTTGGCCTCACACCCAAAGCATATCCGAAATACTCCTCCGAATGACCACTTGTTGCACACCAAGCAGCGTGTCCAGTCGACCTCTGCGCCACCACTCCAGGCTTGAAAGGATTCACTGCTTGAGAACTGGAACCTTGCGCGCGGCTCAACTAATTCCTGCATGCAGGCAAACACTCAAACGAGTACTGTATAGGTACGCATGAGCCTACGTAACTTCGCCCGTAAATTAACAAGGGACTGACTATATGTGTACAGGAGCATGCAAAGATGTACTCTGATATGGCAACCTACGCAGTTATGCATCTGCATCCGCAATCTGTGCATGCATGCGGTGTCGGATTCGGTCGGTCGCTGCGCGTGTGTGTGTGTGTGTGTGTGTGTGTGTGTGTGTGTGTGTGTGTGTGTGTGTGTGTGTGTGTGCGTGCATGGGCGTACGAGTGTACGAACGAGTGTATGCAAGTGCATGCAAGGCCACGTACCTGCATTGATACACACATACAGTACACATGATCAAGAGCTCGTGTCTCGCACATCTGTGCGAACCTCGTATCAGGAGCACCCTCCCCATCAGATGCACAGGCATCGCTCCCAAATAAACTCCGAAAGTCTGGGAGTCTGGGATTTGTCATGGTTGCCCTGGGCGTTCGCAAGCGTCAAGCTCGTCAATCTCCCAATCCATCCCCCCCATGGGCCCAAACCCGCGAGGCAGATTATCGGGGCTTTGTCGCCTCGAAGTGCTTGGAGGGCTGATGAAAAGAGCCTCTGAGTGCTCGAAATCGAAAAGGGTTGGTAGAGTTCGGAACTTTCGGAGCCAGGGGTTCTTGCATTCCGGGTTTCGGGCTGAAGCTTGACGGTTTGCAGAACCTGCCATGTGTTTTTCCACGTTCGCAGGAAAAGCTAGCCTCAGCCAAGGAGCTTCGATGAAGTCCCGTCTTGCAGATTCCAAAGAAACAGGGCCATCTGCATGAAACCTCGGAATGTCACGGCAATTTTTAATTGAGGCGGGAAGCATCCCCCTTCTTTCAGGATGTACTGGCTCTCAGGGTGCAGAGTCGAGCAAAAATGCAATTTGTTTGTGGCACCCTCGAAAGCGAGCGATACTTCAGCATTGATGATTGCTCTTCCGCATCTCTGCCCTGACCATTCTGCAAACATGCTTTGTCTGCACACCTCCACCTGCAACGGCCTGCAAGTTCATGTCTGCCAGCGAGAAAGCAGTGCTTTCGTCAGCACCCGCAAATCTGGCCCTTGTGCGCACCAGGGTGCTGTAGCTCATCGCAAAGCCACTGTCCCAGTCCACTTGGGCAGACCATACCTGGAAGAAAGACTGCTTGTGCAGCGGGGGAGCCAGGATCTGGGTAGTAGGTTCGCAAAGATGAGAGCTCTATTATGTGATCGTTGTATCCAGCTCTACAGTTGCACCTGAAGAAGCAGCAAGACAGCTCACGAGGTAATCATAACATGTCGAGGCTACTGGCAGGCAACCGCCTGGATTTTCGGGAGAGCATTGGCGAAGGAAACGTGTCAGGTTCTTGACCAACTCCACCGCAAGCAAGACACCAACAAGCCAACGGGCCCCTCCGACGATCAGAGAAGGGTTACCAACTACACCTTCTGCGTGCGCATCTTTGGAAAGGCGCGTGTCAAGTGCACCTGTCCCCGAAGCTCGAGGGAGACCCGCCCGGCAGTTCTGTCGGCGGTCGGTCGGTCGGATTATACGCCATGGCGCGTGGACAAGCAAGGATCGCCACACTGTCAAGTGCCTTCTTCCAGTCCAGTGGCAGCAGATTGGTCTGACCATTGCGTCGTGCACACGCCTCTTCCATTTTTCATTATGCGACGAAAACGGCATCCTCGGCGCAGTGCCCTCTTCTAAACCGAATTGAGATTTCCAGAGCCTGTCTTCAACGCCTGCATCTAGAAAACGCTGTTTCAGCAGCGATGCGAAAAGCTTATGTGCAGATAGCAAAGCCACTGAAACGGTGGACCATTCAGTAACTAATTCAGTAGGCAAAGCTTTGTTTTGGCAGCAATGATTAAAGTATATTAAAGTTTCAGGAGCCAATCCAAGGTCGTGCCAGGTTCCACAGCCAGTGCATTGAAGACTTCAATAGGATTGTCGCCGTCCTTCGTGGCCTTTCCACCAAACATCTGCTGAATGGCTCTCCGAAGCTCTGCCAGGTCGAAGTCTCGCGCGCTCACTGCGAATGGATTTCCGAGAGGGGCTTGGTCAGGGATCAAGGCTGTGGTCCGCGAGTCCGCACCCTCCACTGAACACGTTCTAAATGAGCTGCCCGTGTTTCTGCCTGCAGTTCGGAAGAAACGAGAACACCGCCTGCGTGTTGCAAACTACCTTGTTCACACCGTGCCCACGACGGAGCTTTTGGACAGATCGCCCCTGCCCAGCAGCCGCCAAGTCTTCAAGACATCTGGATCGATCTGCTCTGGCCTACTTTTTAACTTCAACCCTCAAATGTTTGATCTCATTGAAAACTGAGCGCGGAGTCTCGCCGAACGACATTGCTGTAGCAACTCGAAGGTTCCAGAGCTTATCCAGGCCTTGTTTGTCTTGCGAAGGTATAGGTATATAGGGGTACAAGTTGCTCAACTGCTGCTGTCAAGGAAGAAAAGACCTTAGCCCGAAACGCACCTCCTCACCAGACAAACTTGCATTGATGCTTCCAGAAAGAGCCCGTGTGGTAGGTAGGCGATTGCAGAATAGACCAGTCCCTCCGCGCATACTGCTTGGGGTTGCCAGCGTCACATTCCAGATTTACGCAGCGTGCAGTTGTGACGGTAATGCCAAGGTTGCTACGCGGTCGCTGCGAATATTTTATTTGTACCGTATTCAGATCCTGTTGTGGGACTAATACTGTAGCACGTCCAACATGGAGAAACGTCCAGGGCAAACGGGTGCAAGGCGTGGCACTCCAGGTTCATGATAGGCGACCTTTCTGTCTGCAGTGGTGTTGCAAAAACTATGTGCGACTAAGAGCTCATGGCTATTTCAAAAGTCCAATAGAACACCCAAACTTTGCATTTCTACCGCGGGTTGTGCTTCAGCGCCGAAAACATGAGGACCAACAACATGTTGCTCACCCGGCCGCTGTTGTCAAATGCGGGGGTTGAAATCACCAAGTCCAAACTTCGTGCAATTTGTGGAGGTACACATCATGACCCGTTTATGTTGTTCATAAAAGCACCATTTCTCACGCTGCAGCCTAAATTATTGTGAGCAGCGAGTAAGGTGGCAATAGCAAAAACCTCGCCGCAACACTTGATCTTCAGAATTGCAATTCTGTCGTTCACGGGACAGAAACCACTAACATAGTTATTGAAACGTTTCGAAATAACGAAGCCCACTCCATACTCTGTCGGCGAACAGGTTAATTCTCAAACCTTGCAAGACAGGCTACAGGCCCGCAGTGACCAGCGAAGCGGAAAAGGCAAGATTTTTCCTCGTCCACAGCAGGTCTTGACAGCTTGTTGGGTTTTGCGAATTTGTCTGATCACTCGCTTTGATTTTCGAAGTGAGCTTGAGGTTGCATGCAGTTCGCCAACAACGGGTGGGCCCCTGAAGTCACGAGACCACGGCTTGGTCCTGCAGCTCCCCTGAAATCGTACAGGCCCCCGTCTCGTCCTTGAGGTCCCACAGCCGCAGGGTGGTGTCATCTGCCCAGCTCAGGGCCCGGTCCATCTCCCAGGACACCTGGCAGCATGCCCCGAAATCCACAGAGGACGAGCCCCAACCTCAGGTCGGAAGAGCCTGGACCCCCTCAGTTTGATGTTCCCAGGGCGGCGAGAAAGCTTAGCGTGTTGTTGAGTGTTGTTTATCCTCGACCAGGCTTATCGGCGCATTAAGCATTGTCCTAGTTGTTAACTCTATTGATGGAATCATCACCAGCTCGCCTTTTGTTCAAACGTTCGCCAGGACGTCCTCCAATCAATGTCTTGCAATTTGTCAGGTGAAGGACATCCCCGCCGTCTATCGACATGACAGTTCCAGTCTGATGGCACTGCTACTTGGGTAGACGATATATTACGTAGTTTACTCAGACAGTTGATGCAATACTTGTTGGCTTTCACGAAACTACAACAACGCTAAAACGTGGCAACACACAACGGTTCCGGTTACAGCTTGCAAGCAACTGTCCGACCTCAACTCCTGCGACGACATCACTGTGCCCCTGCAGCTCGGCAGACAGCCGTGCAGGTCCAGGTGTCAGGCTCCTCGTTTGAGGCTCGAGGACTCGAACGCTTCTGTGTTTGATGGAGCACTCGTCGCATGCCTATGAGGAGAGAGCGGGATGACAACATATATCCAAACTCTGATACAAGCACGATCTACACACCTGAATACATTCGCCCCTGTGTGTGTGTGTGTGTGTGAAACCCTTCGTTTGACAAGGTCAGACAGACGCACATTTTTCTGAAGCCGGGCTCTACAGCGGAAAGGCCGATGAAGAAAGCAGTAACAGGTGGATGACAAGTTGCGAGTTAACGTCGTGATCTGAATGCATACTGTGGAGAAGACGCTGCACCTGACCTTGGAGCTCGGGCGAACACACACACACACACACATACATATCTGTATATGTACGTACATATATATGTATATGTATATAGATACACATACCATCTATATCTACATGCTTCGATCTATGTATGTATGCATACACAGATTTAACGAAATATGGGATACATAAACACATGTACATAGATACATACATCGTCAAATACAGGCAGGCAAGCTTTGCAGGCAGGCATGCACGCATATGCGTGTACGTTGTACACATCATATGTCTGTATCACGTATGTATGTATGTATGTATATATGCACCGCTGAAGACAATGACACACTTTACAATACACAACATACTATAGACACTACATCGCACTACGTTACACTACATCGCCCTACATTACACTCACACTCTCGCTGAACAGCCTATGTCGTCCGAGATCGCTACCTACCTGGAGCCTGTCTCTTGCTGTCCGAACGTCCAAAGGCAGAGCGGCCCAGCGCCGAAGCTAAGAATTCGCTCCGTCTCCCAGCAACAAGCCAGGCCAGAGATCGCCTGAATGCTGCATGTGTTGCAAAGTGCCCCTTGATGCCGAATCAAAAACGACCGGGGTCCTTCAGTCTCAACAGTGGCTTCTTGCATCCTGCATCTTGAGATTGTTAAGTTAATAATTCGAAATCCCGTCTCGTGGCGATCGTTGCCGAGCACCCCTTGATGCCGAATCAAAAACGACCGGGGTCCTTCAGTCGCAACAGTGGCTTCTTGCATCCTGCATCTTGAGATTGTTAAGTTAATAATTCGAAATCCCGTCTCGTGGCGATCGTTGCCGAGCACCTCAAACTTACGGTAGCGGGTTGTCACTCGCACAATGCCGCAGACGGCGACGACTAGGACCGTTTGCTGGTCGAGTTTCTTTTCAAAAGGTCAACATCGAAATAGCTTCTGAGGCGGCTTCGCAGTTCTGCTTGCCGTAGCTTGAGTTTCGAATCTTGCTGACCAGCCATTCAACGTCGAAAGGACAGCTGCAGCATCACGTCAAGATAAAACATCGCCTGCCATGTTTATTCAGCCTGTCACCTGAAAGCGAAAAAAACCTCCGAGACTCTGGCCGAAGCAGGACCAACGAGGTTCTCGAGTAGTTGGCCAGTAGCAAGGCTCCACAGCAGGCACTGCCCGCTCGATCCCCATGCCACACCTTCGATTCGATTGCCAGAAACCGCTACGTGAGAACTACGCTTCGATGTTCTCATATTCTTGTACGGGAGCTCCGTCCAATCACAGCCACCCTGCTACAAGCAAGGGTGCGTATGTGCAGCACAAGTTGGGAGGCAGCGGCTGTGAGAAGGGGAGTTCGAGGAAACAGGAGCAGCCCTTGTTTTTCAGTCGGGGACGAAAAGCTTCCAATGCTTAGCCAGGTGGCAGCGGGACGAGTCCCAGTCCACATTGAAGCCTTTGATGCGGCCTGCCGAAATCCAGTCTTCGCCGCTTAACAACAACCGCAATTGCACGACCTCATAAAAGTATCGGCGTATCCGTCTGTGTACTAATGTGCTGCGAACCCCACCCCGATCCTGGCAGATCCTCCTCACTCACGGACCCAAGCCTGCCCCTGACTAAGTTTAACCTTAAGCCCTTGACCCGAGGAATCAATGCAAGACACCCTCTAACCCGAAGCATTCACAACCTTTACGCTCTCATGCTCGGACAAACCAGATATAGGGCTTGCAGAATTGCGGGGTCTCAGATGGTCTGCGGACGTGTTCGCTTGCACACGAACCCAACGAAACCTCTGCGCTTGAACAGATGCACAGTGTCACAGAGGAAAAAGTCGCCGTCGAGAAATTTCAGGACAACGCAACACCAGTAACAACAGCAAGTTGTCTCGATTTCCCTGCAAACAGCTTCAAATCAACACCCACCTCGGTCTAGCACATGCTTTCGAGAACGACCCTCCGAAGTCCTCCAAGCACAGACGATATGTCATTGTGTTCGAAGCCTACGGGAGCCCGCAGCACATGCAAGGCGTTGCCACTGCACAGGTTCCAAAGCCGAATGGCAGAGTTCCTGAGCGATCCAAGGCAAAAGAAGTTTAAATAAAACAATACTACAACTACTCCTGCTACTACTACTACTACTACTACTACTACTACTACTACTACTACTACTACTACTACTACTACTACTACTACTACTACTATACTACTACTACTACTACGACTTCGACTACCTTGGATCCTCTTGTACCGCTTTTGCCGCCCTCTCGCCAAGCCAACGCTTCACCTCCGAGCGGCCAACAGGCCACGAGGCGATTCGACTCCCAGTGGACCTCCAAGCCGGCGTCCACCAGGTCGTCCAGATCTCCGTCGCCTGCTCAGGCCCAGGCTGGACCCCTCTAGGAAGGTCTTACTACTTGTGCGGCCTTCTCTCCTGTGCGGTGCGGGGAGACCTGCCCTTGAAAAGTGGTATAAGGACGTTACATGAGGCTTCGCAGCAGATCAGTGAGCAAGAGGCTCCTACTCCTACTGCCACAACGACTACCGCTGCCACTAGCTGCCATTAGCTGCAACTGGCTGCCGCTGCCGCCACCGCCAGCAACCACTGCCACCGCGACCACCACTGCCACTACCGCGCTACCACATTACCACCCTCTGTTGCAACTCACCTGTTGGCATCTGGAGTCCGGTGCCATCTGACACCCGGCCCTCGTTGGGCGGCGCCTTTCAAACGGATGCTGCACATCCGTCGATCTCCGGCCCAGGCCGCAATGCGGTCGTCGGACCCAACCGTGACCTCGGCACCGCAATGCATGTAGCTGCATGGTGCCATGCGTAATTAGTCGGTTTTGGTACATGCGACCGCTTTCAACAGGCATGAAGGACAGATACGAGGACTTCATCCCCTTGGAAAGGTTCCACAAAGCGTCGCTCTGGACCGTGTCACCCCAGTCCACTTCTGCGTCAAGCACCATACCTTCAAGCAGGGCATCTGGGGCAGAATACGCTACGGTACACGCTATGCCTCCGCACAACCAGATCGAGAAATGGCCTCAAGCTATCGCTGTCGCAGTTTCCCCCTTCTTCGAAATGTTTGCAAATAAATAAACCATGTTCGTCAACCAGTAACTAGACGACGTAGAGGCTCTCGACAGCTGCAGTATTTTCAGATTCACTGCTCCATATTGCCCCAATAGCCCTCGGGCCCTCAACATAATACCAGTGGACGTCAGTATGAACACGGAGCCATCCTGCGAAAGGATGCACCGCAAATCGCCACGACTTTGGCAGGGATGGTGCTGAAACTGGAATGAAACAACGTCCAGGAAGCACATCTGACTGGGCAGTTGGTTGTGCCAGACGAAAAGACTGAACATATGCCCGTGACTGCAAACCGAGTTCAGAAGGATGTTGGGTGCTCTTGCAAAGTGCAGGTGCCAGGAGCCTTCGTGTGCAGGGATCCTCGGCTGTACTCGGGTGGAAGGACTCAGTCTCTGGGCATCATTTCGGGATACCTGTGCTTCGCTGCCTGAAGACCGCGTCCTTTTTGGAACTTCCAGATCCCAACAGTCCCAACGCTGCATCGTTTAGAAGTTACCAAACGCAGCCTGATAGCCTGATTTGACGGGACCTGCGACTGCACAGCAGAAGCACAGGCAAAGGTAAAGCAGCTACAGCTTTCACGTTCGTCACCGGGCTTCGTGTGCGAAGCCATGCCCTTGGCAAGGTCCCAGAAGATCAGCAGGCCTCCGTCTGTGGATTTCTCTTTGAAGCCCGGCTTCTGTGACTAAGTGACTAAGATGTCCGACAAACTTCGAACACAAGATGCGTGTTTGCGCAGGCGATGTACGACAACAGAATCCGGGGCACAATTCTAAACATTCTAAACCCCACCGTCACTGCTCCGCAATACTGTCGTGCAAAGTTCTATCTTTCCCGCACTCTCTCAGCGCCACATCACGGCTTCTGGTCTCGTCCGTGAATCTTTTTCCCGCCTGTCTGCGGATCTACAAACGATTTGAAGGGTTCGGTCAGCCTCCTGCGCCGGGCCGTCTAAGGATGATCTGAGGCAGCGCTTCATTGTTGTTTTCTGAGCATGGTGGTGCTTGAGGAAGCGCTTCGGGACATGTGAGCTAGTAACAAAAATCTGAGCAGTTTGTGCCTCCACGATCGTAGGTGGCAGCCTGCTGGCGCTTCCAGTCCACCAACACCTGAGCCGTCTGCATCGTTCGCGGATGTTCCGAAACGGCGAGCCGAAATGGACCTAGCCGCTAAGAATGGTCTTATGATGGTATTGTACCGTTTCAGGTCGCAGCCTGGGCATGTCAGCTACCATTATATGGTCGGGGCAGAGGGCAGGCCGCAAGTCAGCAACGCATCCCGGTACGTACATGTTGACAGTTCCCGCAAGCTGCCCCATTTTTGTTGGTCCAGACTTAGAGTTGAACATTAATTACCAAAAACAAGGAGGTACTCTGCACATACCATACAAGACTGTAAACAACGAATGTGCAACCCTTCACGATGAATGTAACATGCGGATGTGGCAAGCACACCGTTACAGCTCTCTTTACGTATTATATCGTATTATATCACACGATTGAAATTGGAAGGACACTGGGCGCTCGGCGCCGTTGATGATGGCCTTGTGGCCGGAAAGGCAGTGTAAACCTGGAGGCCAGGGTTCCGATATGTCATCGAAGGCTGTGATGTCGCGCAGACTTCTGCCGGCCCAGCATCCGTACGTTGATGCAATAACCGACCAGTGCGACACTCCCATAGTTACTGCACCGACAGGCTTGGCGTCTATGATGATCGACTCGACTTGAGAAAAGGCTTTTCACTTCGGGCTTGGGCATTTTTGAAGCAAGGATGTGCGGTCGGCTTCCTTTTAATTGAAAGTGCTTTGCCTTGCTCTGGAGGCCATATGGGAACCTGATACACTTGCCTGAAGAGCCTGGGTAAATGATCCCAACTTGCTCTTGCAGATGCTGCTTCTTGAGAAGCGAAACGAGGCTCAATGCTTCGCATTGGCGCTGCAGCAGAGTGGCATCGGCCCTGCTCCAAATCCCAGTGCCGGACATTGTGGTGCATATCTCCTTGTGGGCATCTTCCTAATAGGCAATGCACCAAGCCGGACAAAGCCAGATGCGAGAAACGACCCGACCAATGCGGAGGTGTAGCCTTAGCTCGAACCTCTCCCCTGGGCTCCAAATGAACCTTCAACAACCCAATCCAAGCTTGTCGAAAGCCCTGAGAGGACAAAGCCTCAGTACCGCGTCTAACTCGTCAAATGGGATCTACTGACAAGCACAGCAGAGAACACCTCAACAATCGTGTGGGTTCTCTGGGCCCCAACTATCCGCGCTCCCCTCGTCCTGAAAGAGCACGGCGACCCTCCCAATCCACCTCCAGGCCTGCACAAGACAGCTCTCATGATATAGGAGTCTGCACAAGTGGTATCCGGTTCTAGCCCACGCATATGTTACGGACGGAACTGTGCGTTGCAGGGCTCCACTCTCGACAGCTCCTGGTAATACACGAGCATATACGACATACGTTCATCAAGGCCGCGGGTCATCGCGGATCAGCATTGAAACTTCCGTTTTGTCATGCTTTGTCTTTCTGGCCCTGGTTGGAAGGGAAGGGAGCGCTGATGAATGATGTATAGCAATCGCGACCAAGCCAACCTCTTCACGGGTGATCTCCAGAACCCTGCCAAACGTACTTGGGCCTGACTAAGCAACAGTTTCTCGATCTTCTGCCGACATGGTCCCTGGAAGCTCTGTATCTTTCTCTCACAAACAGCAGCAACAGCACGCCTCTTAGCTTGGTGCACATCGACACCCCCCCTCCCCAACGAGCGAAAAGTCCCCAAATCTTGCATCATTCAGTCTCGGGCAAACAACAAGCAACATGTGACAGCATTTTGTGCTGACCCTGCATCCCAAACTCCAAAGCCTCCTTGGATTGAAACACTAAACGAGTAAGAGCATTGAGCCTTCTACCCTCGCAGATTCGACCGACCCCCTGAGTCCTGTCAAAGCTGGGCCGCCACGGAGGAGGTGGTGTGCCAAAACGCCTGAGGTCTTTCACACATGCCAGGGATTCCCATGGTGTCGCAAAGGGGTCGAACTCAGGAAGTCTGATGGACTCTGGACAGATGCATTACAAACTACTTAAACTTACGACGACGGGTTGTTTGCAGAATTGGGGTGCTCGGCCTGTTTTCCTTCTCAGATGTTTACGCACCCTCAGCGACACCAGCCTTAAAAAGTCATCCAACACCTTTCAAGTGAGTGGACAGCCGCAGGACCGTACCAGCACCCGTGTCATCCACTACAGACAAGGAAGTTGCGGAGCATTTTGCATTCCTCTCAACATCAACAGTCAGTAGTTCGATCCCAAGCGACCCCAGGGCGCCAAGGTGCCTTGCTCCAAGTCCCAAAGGCGCCTTGGCACGGGATCCAAGCTTGTTCAGGCTGGGCAGCGCTCTGCTGAATGCTTTCGTGGTTTTGTGGTGCACAGGGTCCCGAAGCAGTGCTGGCATGACCCTTTTGTGGGAACGGCTACAACATTGTGGCAGGTGGCAGGGTCCCGTCGCCGAAACCGACGAGGGCCAGGTGCCCAGGGGAGCGGAGCGCCGTGAGATCCAGCAGGCCTCTGCAAAAGCTTCGGCGTGGTAGGGACATAGATACACGTCGTACTGAAATGCACGGTATAGAACCGATGGTTCTGAACATGCTGCTCAAATGAGTCGATATGTGCCGTGTCGCTTGAAGCCTTACTTTCATTTATCGGTTTGCAACTTATTGCGAAACCACTGCTCACAGATGACCGCCCGCCTTTGCTGCTGTGTGGAAGCTCGTCGAGGCGTGTTACCTGCATCATGCTAAAGGGTTTGACACTCCCGCCTGTCTATTGAAAGGATTTCCCTGCTTGGCACTGAGTAATGGATGTCCTAGGGTTGTGAGGTCGCCCACAACAAATCTCCGCAACTTTTAAGGGTCTGTGTTGCTTGGTATATAAGGGTTTTCGCCCAGGCGAGACTGAGTACTCGACCATTCGAGCAGGCCCTTTGTTGTCAGTTCTCTTTCTTACTAAAGCTACCCACAATGTTCCGAGGCATACAGTATGGCTGCTGTGTGAGATGGCATACATCCACATACGCTTGCATGCTTGCTCGCACTGACGGGTATCCTCTGGTCACTGGGCCGGAAGCATGCAATAATACCGTCCGACAATGTAAGACCAGCGCAACATGCCACAGATCCATCTGGAAATACATGCGCGCTTCCTAGTTCCCCGAGCAACCAAACTTCTGTTTATGTATTCGTCTGGTCAACCCCAAGCACGGAAACACGGAAGAGGGTCGCGTGGTGAGCCTCCAAAAGTTCCCGACCTCCCTGTTCCTGGCTTCAGAGCTCGCTTTATCAGAGCGACAGTGTCCATAAGCATACACGTGGCAAGCACTGCCGATTACTGCGAACCATCAACAGCGACTATCAGGCTCATAGCGCGAAAAGCATGTGCAGCACCACGGCCGAATCAATTGCAGTGGCTATGATAGCAACCGATTTTACCGGAAGCAAGAAGGAGCAATCACTAGGGATGCATGATAGCAATACTGCAAACCTAATAAGCAGCAACGATGGAATCACATATGGCAGTGGGTCGCCGAAGAAATCGAATATACTAGAAAGGCAGATTCTCTTCATGACAGTCCATTCATTCAGCTCAAATCCAAAAGTTTGCCAGTGTAGCATACAAACTTCTGGCAACAACAGCACACGAAAAGAACACGTCCAATGATAACGACAGCTATTTCATAAC